GTATTGTTATATATATATATATATATATATAAAACTCAAAACTTTACAAGTTATAACTGTAGAAAAATCCAATTTTTTTGAAGAAAAGAAACAGAGTCAAATGTAACATCTTTACAAAAACAGAGCAATGAAAAAAAACAGAGGAATTGGTACCTTGAAGAGGAAAGGGAGATCGTAACCCCACTTGTCCACGACTCTAGACCCGAGTGAATCCGGATGATCCAAAACCCACGATTTCAATGTAACCATGCATTTATCAGACCCGGACCCGAATCCAACATGACTCGGTCCAGACTCATGAGTACCCATCCAAAACTCGGCGTGAGGAACCGCTGAGTCGACTCGTCTTCCAGAATTCGCTTCTTGGAGTCTCGCGACCAATGAGTCCGGTCCGAGTTTGCCCCATTCGTAGTTCTTGACGAAACATCTCAGCCGTTGGATCTCTTCACCGCCGGTTAACTTGCCTTGATCGTGACCGTTCGTTTGTATTGCGTTTGCGTCTGCACCCATTTTATGAATTCAGAGAGGAATATACAGATAATAGTATAAAGACCGATGATGGGCTTTTCTTGTAACCCTTCTCTACTATATATAATAGAAATGATTTTGTATTTCTTGTAAGAGGGTTAAAAAATAATACTCAAAATCATATAAATATGGAAATAAGAATATTAATACACAAGCAAGTGTGTAAATATGTGTTTCTTTATGTAGAAATTAAGATATGCATTATTAATTAAGTGATTTTTTCTTTTCTTTTGTAATAGATTCACGAGAATTTCTTGAATTTTATTATTATATGAAATTTTGTATATACAATATAATTACGTGTGAATGATTGCACCAAAAAAAAATAAGAGTACTTACGTGTGAACAAGAAGAGAACGCATCGTCTTTGAAACCAATCCATGACCATCAAGTAGACGTGGAGGAGAAATCTGAAAATGCTCAAAATAGAGGTAAAGACCATTTTTGGAAGATAATTTGAGAACTGTTTTTTTTTAATTTTGTGATTAATATAGGAATTTGCGTGTTTGGTTTGGAAATATAGAACTTGAGAATCAAGAAAAAATATGGTAAGAATTATAATTCTCAAACTTGCCATATTGTATTTTTTTTCTTATCATATATTAATTGAACATTAAATATATGGAATGAATCAAAATGTACAATATGAATGTAAACTAGTTTATATTTTTTTTATGGAATAGATTTATTTCATAAATTATATGTCACATGGTTGCTACTGTAATCACAACTATATTTTTTTAGTTGCTTGTGTCTCACAAAAGACTTCAAATCTAGACTAAGAGAGAATAGTTTCATATTGGATTAGACACCATTTCTTGAAAGAGACATCATGCTTCCTCCTACCAAAACATCTTTGCGTTGAGAACATTACATATTTGTAAATTAAATGTGTTTTCGCTTGGAATACTAATGATTCTCGGCTTCATCTAATGGCTATTGTTTAAAGTTTAAACAATTTTAAAAAGAGTTCCTCTTAAGAATTGCTAATGCTACTCAAACAAATTAAAAAAGTTGTTGACTATTGAATAATCCTACAAATCACACAGAAACTGATTTTACATATTTTTTATACCCACGTACAACAACAAAAAAACGCGTATAAACTAATAATATATCGATAAAACTTTTTATTATTAATTAAGATATTTTATTGAATTTGTAAAAGTATTAATTTTTCGGCAAATTTTAAATTATGGATTTATAATGAGATTTACCTAATTTTTGATGATTTTAAAATTTCTATTTAAAATTAAAAACCTTTGTTATAATCCATATCCTTCTGTTTTCATCAATCTATATTTTTTTAATATGAAAGAAATATGTATATATTTTGTACATAACGTTATCAAAAATATTATTTTCTAATTATATGTCATCTAAAATTGTGTTAATTAGTGCATTGCCAATTCGGAACTGGATAATTGTTTTGATTTTTCTAGAAGTTTTCTTGTACATGAATTTGTGATAAAATCGAAAACAGTTAAATCTTTTTTATTCAAATCTTTTTAGCCTAGGTTGATACTTTACCATATATATTTTAAATTATGAATATTCCAAGCATAATATAAAATAATTAAATACTCTTTAAGATGTAGCCCCAACTATTATACGTAAAGTTCTTGTGACTTCATAAATAAAACAAAATAAAAATTTGTTCTAGCTGGATATAGAGAAAGGTAAGGTCAATGGCTTCCTTGTGGGAAGTTCTCATGAAAAGTATCAATGAATCCATTTTACATGTGACATACTTTCTCTTCTGAAATGACAGAACTGATTTTTCTTACTTTATTTACAAGTCAACATTATTATCTTTTTCAATTTTTGCTATCACATAGCAATCCAAGAATTTACGTGGATTAGTTGCTATATAAGGAAATCTAAAACCCAAATAAATTTTATGCAAACGTGGTTATCCAAGACATTTTTAAACCACGTGTTCAATTCTACAACATGCATAATACTTTAAATATCGTGGATGCAAGTTTTCTTTACACAAACTTGTCCATATATCTACAAGTTGCAACTATATATCTCATGCATGACATCACATCACCATACGTGATTACTTCTATGCCAAAAAACTCACGAGCCATTCATTTTTTGTTGCACAAAACAAAATAAAGGAAACTCATAAGAAGAAGAAGATGAAGAAGAAGAAGAAAACAAAAAAGAGAATGTGAGGGTGGAGTAGAATGGTATAGAGAATGAAGGGTTACTGTTGGAAGACGTCGTCAATGGTATGGGAAGAAAAGGTTGGCCGTGACGTGGAGTTCGTTATGCTCCAAATCTGAGCTTTACGTCTTCTTCTTCTTCTTTTGTATCTTATTGAGTTTCTTTTTTTTTCTTTTTGGACCACGTACGTACGACTCCAAGTTGGTCGTTGGTGTTCGGTTTGGTATTCCTCAACTTATCGAACCCGGTTCTTTTTGCCTAATGTTGTCAACGTATTATGGCATATCTCCAACATATATTATGGAGAAGAGCATCATCTACACATAAAAACGTATATTCTTTAGGGTCAAATTAGTTACATCTCGATAGAATAGTAATGATTCTTGAAAAAAGTTCAAAAAATCTGGCTCTCAATAGTAACGTGTGGAACAACCGAGGAAAAAAATATCGTGCATTTCTATTAGAGTCCCAAAATCTCACATCCTATGGGATTAAAATCTTTGGATAATATATATAAGATGTGACAATTTTTCTTCACTTGAACTAGTTTTTGGGATTAGTTAGGCCACGTTACTAACAATTTTTAATAATAACAAAAATATATATACAATTTTTTTTGTTATTTTTGGGATTTACATTTCAACCAAAAAGAGAAGACTAACTTGATATGAACCACCAAAAAAACTTTGTAAGCACCAATTTTTGTGGATAGGTTGTTGTTGTTCATTGGGATTACAAGAATTCTTCAAATTTGGTCAATTTCAAACCGTGTTAGTCAATGGTTTTTCTTTATTTTTTTGGGATATCAAATAAATGGGAAACTAGAAACCACTCAAGACCAAACGTTTTTGGTTTAACAAATTCGTTTCGTGTAGACCAAAGTTGAAAGACTTTTTCTTTGATTTCTCTATATAGCTTACTTAGGAAACTTGATGTTTATCAATTCAAATTTTTAATTCCGACAATTATCTTCAGAAACATTCTATTTTTCTTACACGAAAACCATATGACCAAACCTTGTAGACGATGATATCAAGATGTCTTATATATTCAAGCTTTTAACAATTTCAACGTTCAAGAATGAATAGCTCATCTAAAAAGTCAATGGACCTTTTTTTTCTATTCTGTTGAAGAAGTCAACGAACTTTTCAATACAATAAACAGAGACCAAATCAATATTTTTCCTATGAATTTTACATTACAAACTCTCAAATAAACCCTATGGTTTCAATCAAATGTAAATCCCCCAACACACCAAGGGATCTAATAAAGAATCAAGTTTTCTTTTGTTTTTGTCATCATCAATCTATTGTCTCTGCATTTCACTAAGAAGAATCTGAACCTGAGAGACACCAACAGATTCATCAAAGAATGACGGTTTTACGATAAGATCACTAGGCCAAGATAGAGCGATGCGCAAAGAAATGCAAAAGATATCATTCCCCTGAAACGAAAACAGTTTGTTAGAAAAAAACGGTTTTTCATTTTCATTTTCAGAATGTGAATACTGAGAGTTGGATTATAGTTCTAACCAGATGACACCCCAGCCACAACCAGTACAGCAAGGACAGATCTCTGCAAACTTCTCAGCATCGCTCGAATGGACCCTCCGAGATATCAGGTCATCATAGATATCTAATATTTGTGCATTGCAGCCATATTATTATTGGTCCATAAGTCATAACTTTAAGGAAATGGGAGATAAGAATTTACATACCATAAACTGAGAATAAGCTATTCATCACACCTGCAATATTGTAATTCCAGCTTTAGTATAGGCTAAACGAAATTAAATGATGTTAACAAGAGAGACAAGAGAAGAGACAAGAGTTTTATAGTATCTCACCAATGAATAGAATGACATAACGGAGAATTTTGACTGTAGTTAGCTCTTGTAGAACCCATATGATAGCGAGGAAAACTATGAAACCTGGGAATATTACAGCTATATAAGCATTTTGGGTACTTAGAAAGAAAATGCAATTACAGGACGCGCGAGATAAGATAACACACCTATACAAAGACCTCGAAGCGTCCACTGTCAAAATTGAAGATGTCAATGTTTAATGTTGATGACTTTTAAGGAAATAAGACTCTGTAAATAAGCGAAATAGTAACTTCTTACGTTTTTGGCAATGAAGAGGACGATGAATAAAGCAAGACCCAAACCAGCAGCAGCTATTCTTGCTGTAAGCAGATTGGTAGATGCAAGAATCAAAGCCATTCCCCAAAATGATGACCCGAGATCTATAACCAATTCAAACAACAAAAAAGGGTAACACTTTTTAGCCCTTTCACCTATAATCCATCAACAAAGGAGTGTCTAAATTCGAAAAAATTGGTTAAGGGATAAAGATAGATTGGGCCTTACAGCCAGCAGGTAAGATCAGCCAGTAAATGCCACCACGTGTTGTTGTCGAACCCCCTTCATTTGCATTCACCTCCATACCCTCCACCTTTAGATTCATTAAGGAAATGAGTAACCAAAATGAGGGACATACGTTAAAAGATAAGCATTATCCACATTATATACGACTGTGAGATGCAGATTTTTACAAAGAGATGGTTCATAAATTTGATGGTATTCTCAGTAATCTATACCTAGACTTTCCAAAGATAAAAGTTTTGTTCAGGGGTGTAAAACTTGCATATTCATAGAAGCAGTATTTGGAAAGAAAAGTTTGTGGATTTCATCACATCAGAACTATAGTAAGAGCTGAAGCTGTACACTCCTGGTTATTAGAGAATTACTAAACCGAAATGCCAATCAAATCCTATAAATCTACACCCTAAACAATCTGCAGGGGCATCTTTATAAATCCAGCCCTCACTAACCAACTCACAACACCTAAATCTGTTACATTGATTCCAAAGCTAGATATATCAGACTTACACCAAATGCTTAAGCAGCTGGATTTCTTCAAGTAGACTCACTGTATGTCGTGGCTTCTTAGACTACTGACAGAAGCTACTAGTTTACAAACACATAAACAATGGAAGCAAGGGAGAATCATATACAAATCTTATGAAGCAAGGATAAAACTGTGTTCTATTAACCAAATGAGAAAAACATAAAATGACATGACAGCCTGTGATAAACAGCCATGTCCAGAGAGAACACAGAGACATCATCGCTAAAGCAATAACCTTTCTATCTTAGGAAACCATAATATCTTCTATGCCTTTTGCAAAGCAACATTTTGCAAACTGAATCAAGGGTTCAATACTTTAGTTGACACCTATAATCAAACTTGTACCCTTTATATTTTTATTGAAGAATAGTAGTTGTAAGTAAGAGAGCTCCTTACATCTCCACAAGTAAGCTTGCAAGCAACAGCATGACTCGCTTCGTGCAAAAACACCGTAATAAGTTTAAATGGAGTCAATAGAAATGTCCTCCATAGCTGTAAAAACCAAAACCCCACACAAGAAACCTCTGTAAACATCTCAACACATATGACACCAAAAATCACAAAATTTGAATGAAATTTATAGGTCAATAGTTGCATAAACACTAAAATCAGAAACCCTTTTGGCTAGAATCTACAAAAACCTCTTCGGATCTTCAATTGAATCGAAGAAAACATATAAAGTTTCAAACTTTATTAAAACTGACCAAGAGGATAACGACGGTGAAGATTCCGATGGTGATGAGGAAAGTATTCTGATTCCGGTTACAGCAACCTCGGAGTTCCCAGTTCGGCGTAACCATCTCCGGCTAACAAAAAGATTGAAACTTTTCTCTCTTTATTCCCGGAATCTGAAGAGTGACGAGGAGAAAGAAGAAAGAAGAAAGAAAAAAAAAGCAAAAGAGGGAAAAAAAATGGACGAATTTGATTGGTTTCTTAGTTTTTTGAGATTTTGACATTTTTTATTAATGAGTTGTCTAATGTGTTTCTTCTTCATCTTGTTCGAGGAAATTGTGAGAAAATTATTGTTTAACATCTTTTTTTAGAGAGAAAAAGATTGATTAGGTGACCCATCCTCCATGACTAGTGACCACATTGACCAGATCTTACGCGTTTTAATGTTTTGTTTTCTGTTTGAGTAGTTTTTTTTTTTTCAAAATATAATTTGAGTTATTTTGTATAACTTACGAAAATAACATTTTAGCAGAAACAAAAAAAAAATAATCACCAGAATTTATTTCAATAGCTCTTTAATTTTTTTTTAAATAACAATTTTCTTTTCCTATTGCTTCTCAATTTATGTTTAATAGTATTACAATTTTTAGTTTGTCCGAAAAAGAATTAGAATTTTTTTGGAAATGAAATCGCACACTTTCGAAATTACTTCGGCCAGTAATGGTGGACGTAAAAATTGTATCTTTGGTAATAGTATATAAATATGAATTATGAATTATATAATATTATAAACTATCTTATATTTAATTTGTAATCATTGTAAAAAACTATTATATTTTTAGTTTTAATTAATATTAAACATTTATTATAAAAAAAATTATAGAAATTTTGGAATTGTATTGAGTAGTACGAAACTATGTTAATTAATTAACCATAAGTAGATTATGAGTAATAAATATATAATAAAGCATAAAAGAGAGCAATGAAGAAATTGGTCGAAGTATGAGACAAACATATCGTATTCACTTCATCCGAATTGAATTAGTATGTGTTGAAATATATATAGTAACCTACCAAATACCAATACTATGCAGCGGTCCTCGTTGTCCGCCATATGACAAAGTCGAACGGTGCTTACTCAAACTCTGGAGTGTTTAGCTCTACGACGACCTGTAAAATTATCTAACGCTCGTACAAAATATATGGTTATTAATGAAAAGAAAAAGCTCAAGTGTCTGTTATTTCAAGTACATGACTACATGAGTCATGTGATCATGTCTAGGATCATAGGTTATGGGACGATAAGGTTAAAGACATGCCTACAACATATGAACACTACTGGACTTGGTGGCCTTGGCCTCAAGCTTTAACTCGTTTAATTTTAGCAAGTGTTCCACGATCTCTACCACCTTAATACACAGCAACTACAACAACAATAACAACAAAGAAGTTATGTTCGGTTGATTATAAATATCTTACTGAGATTATACGTTTAGTTAGAATACTTGGCAACTAGGGGTTTTATCTTTTGATTATACACTCCTTTAGACATAATATGAAGTTATGAACCATTGATCCGGACTGTCACTACCTTTCTTTATAATCAACATCACTATTGTTGAACTTAGAGAAAAGAAACTCGAGACATGAAAATGGTAGGACTCTTCATCTTTTTCTCCGAGTTAATTAATTGGAAATCTACAGAATTTATAATTATACTCTTTAGAAAGTACTCATAGTTACAAAAATAAGACAGATTATAATCAGTAGCTGGTGAGGATCTCACACATAAAAAAAAACAGAGCCGTAGTTGCTTATATTTTTCATACATTTTCCTTATATTTTTTCTACTATTTTCTACTTATTTTCTTTGTTTTATCTTAGTTTTTCTAATAATTATTATGATATAATTATATATATATATAGTTGATGTTCTAGTAAAATTATTACATTAAATGCATTAATGAAATAAACATAAAGAGTTCTAACTTTTGATTGTTTTTTTTGTATTTTTCATAAAGGTTTGGTTAGTATATGATTTAAAGTCTTAAACTTTAGAACTCTTTACTATTATGAAATAAAGAGCATGACTAATTGTGTTGTACTTAGCGTAAGGGACCAAAATATTATGCATATGTAGTATATGGATGCAAGATGGTTATTCTTATAAGGTCAATATTTTGGGTACTTCAGCTTTAATAGTATATATGTCCCCGTGAGTCTTTGATCTTTGCAAATGAGACTACGTAAAAGAGCTTGTTTAAATTTTATGAAGCCTAGTTCGCCATCTTTTCTAGTGAAAACCACAATCATTTCAGAAAAAAAAACTTTCATTTTTTATTATTATTATTATTGTGATTTATATATTATTTCAGTTCATATATTTATATTTCAAACATCTTTATATGAATTTGTGTATTTAAGTGTGGAAATGTAAATATATACTTCTACCAAATTTATTCAGCGATAATTTTACATTAGATTATTCGATGATAATAGTACTAATTAATAGACGAAAAAATAGTACTAATTAATAATATATAGCTAGACAATTCTATAAATAGTATTAGTGATATATATGTAGCTAAGACAATTTCTATTAGATCTAAAATCAAACAAATATACATGTAAGGTTTCTCTATAGAAAAACATAGAGAACTTAATACACTTCAAATTCAGGAGTAAAATATATTACTTCTACCAAATTACCCAACGACTTTTTTTATTAGATTATCAGATGATAATAGTACTCATTAATCTTATGTAGCTAAACAATTCTATAAATAGTATCAATGAGATGTAGCTAAGACCATTTCTATTATAAGATGCTCTCTAAAATAAAACAAAAATACATGTAAGGTTTCTCTAGAAAAACACTTCAATATTTAGAGAAAAAATAAGAAGCTTTCTTCATTTCATCTTATATGTATAGAACTTATGTAGAAAACAAAAGCAGTTTTGATTATTATTGTTCGGTAATTGTCAGCAAAAAACATCACCCAATGCTATTTGTCGGAACTGGACCATCTCTAGTGTTTATAACTAGGGTCCGTCATCATAACCAAAACCCTAACTGAATTGGACAGCTTCGTTGTTAGTATTATCGAGAGCAGCCAAAGTAGGCAAGTTTTGGTCGGGTCGAATCGGGTCGGGTTGGTTTAAAGGTGGGGCTCGTGTGGTGCGATCCGAAGAGGACTATCTCTTAGTAAAGGAAACGTGGACCATCTCTTAACCCTTCACTTCTCTTTTTAGTGGGATTCTTCGTTTTCAGTAAGTACGTTGCTATATATATATCGGACCCATGCATGGCCATGCTTACTTTGTCTTCTGTTTTTTTTTTTTTTATATTTCTTTTCACATAATTCATAAGTTTATGTAAAGTTTTATTATACAACTCTCTAGATAATATGAAATCTCCTTTTCTCTTTATTTCTTTCTGTCACAATAACAATTTCTTTACTTCAAATTTAAGAAAATATCGATTTCAATTTTATGAAAAGCAAACTCGCATAGATGACTCATTATATTTTAAATAAAATAAATAAAGAAATTAGACTTTTCTATCACATATATATACAGTATATAAGTAGCCTATAGATTTTAGTAACTAGAGATTAATTTTTGTTATAACTTACAAGTTATTTGATGATGAAGACCCGTTTCTTATCTAGCTATATAAGTTTGTTTTCATATAGCTTATATGATAGAAAATAAATAAATAAAAACAAATTTTAAAAAAATATCATTATTGTATAAAATAACGATCCATATGAAAAATAAATAATATGAAATTATTTTTTAATATATAAATAAAAGACACCACAAAATCTTTGATATATACATTTCATATTTTACAAAAGTGGATAACAACAACTTAGTAAAAAACAACTTGATATGTAATAGACATTTGTCTGCCCTTATCATTAGTTTGGAAATATCAACAAAGGCCACCAGTCTTATTCTTTTTAATAATTCTTAAACTTTATTATATTATCTAACCATTAAAACTACACCTAAAGTGATGAGAATCTTAAAATATACGAATATTTCTAAATTAGTAAAGACAAAAACAACTCGGTTAAAATATATAAGAACTTGACTAATAATAAGACAACAATGTATGATCATTTAGCTCCTAATTCAATACTCATATATATATAAACCATCGTGTAGTTGGTACTTGGTATAGTCACTGCCAATAAATGATTGGATGACAAGGTTTTAATAGCAAATAAAAATATATAGTTTGTTGAACTAGCTATTTGGATAACACTTCAAAGTCTTCAACTAAATTTTTTAGCCATGACAATATATATCGTTGGGTTAAATATATCAAATCAGAAGCACCAACGAATTGTCAATATCATCCCAAAACACCTCATATGCGAAGAGTGGCTAGTGCGCGACCTTATATATAACGTGAAGTGTACGTTGGGACATTCTCGTTTACCTAAGCAGTAACCACTAACCACTACTATCATCACACTAACTTATCGACGTACCATGTGTGTTTTGTAACGTGTTCCGAAGTCATTGGTCTCGGAACTATACATAATATATATATGTGATATAATTTAGAAAAACTTGGTTATTCATTAACATAAGAGTAATATTTATACATAATAAGATTTCTTTATAGGATAGAACTGTATTACATCTCAATACTCTAATGGATTTTAATATATCTTAATAATATCGATAAGTGACCGATCCATGATCCATTCTCAAAATCCGGCTATCAGATATCCTAGCTTGGTAAAATTAATTTCTTTAAAAATTTGGCCTAAGAGGATGGATAATTTAATTGAGAAAATATCTAAAGGAAATGAATTAGATAAACTACTTAGATGACAAAAGAATATATATATATATATATATATAGATATATGAATAAACGTTTTATTAATTAAATATCAAAAAATGTTCATAAAACATTACACAAAAACTACAAAATATATCTTTATTGATAGCATTTCACTATAACTATTAGCTAATAACAAATTCTCAATTGTAGAAGAAATTTTTATAACATACACAAAAAACGTTAAAATATAGTTAACATCTAGCTAAGATAGTTGTCGCGAACATAATAGACACCAATTATAACATTTATATCGTATGCTAAAAATGTTGATATTATTTGTAGCAAGTGTTTCAAATGATTTTAACTATATATATATTTGTAGCAAACAATATATATATATATATATATATATATATATATAGTTAAAATCCTATTTAGAACACTTATATATATATATACATATGTATATATATATATATTCTTTATCAAAAATCCACAACACTCTCCGACAATCTAAAAAAAAAAAAAATTCTTTATCAAAATTTTTTTTTTTTCAAAAGTCTTGCGCAAACACTATACAATACTCAAACAATTTAGTTAATCTTTTCTCCTTAAAAAATACCCAAACGATTACTCCTTAACACACAAATTTCACCTTAATCTCTCACGAAGTTCTCTTAGACAAAATCTAATTGTATGCTAAAGTCTCGATCGCGTCGGTGAACTTTTACACCGCTGGTCTATATTCACTGCTCCATCAAAATTTGTCAACCCGAATCCAAACATCAACCATCTAAAACATTTCAAACATTGCAGTCTGCACATGTCTCTTTTGACTTCAATAATTTTTCTTTTTACAGAAGTTTCAATATCTCTTTTATCAAAAGTTTCAATTTATAAAAACACATATATACAATAAAGAAAAAAATAAATTAAAAAAAAATAGATACGAAAGTGAAGAACCAACATATATCCTTTTTTGGCCCATGCATGTGAATATGTAGCAAACGACACGCTTCTTTGTCCCCCTCTCCTTCTATATACATTACTACCATTTTATTCTTCCTTTTTCAACAAATAATTATTTTCTAATTTTTCTCAATTTAATTCCTAAAAATTACCTATAAAAATAATTAAAACCTAATCCTTCTTCACCTTCTTCCTCAAATCCATCTCTCTCTATCTCTCTTCCTCGGAAATATTAATTTCATTCTCCTCTTTTTTCTCCAGAAATTATTCATCTTTTTTTCACAAAAATTCTCATTACCATAAAACATATAACAATTCTTGTTTTATTTTCAAGAAAATCAAGAAAATGGCGGTGGATCTTTTATCGGAAAACTCAAATATGAGTCCAAGAATCTCATTTTCACGTGACTTTTGTCAATCAGACGCAATACCAATAGAGAAACGTCCCTTGAGATCATCATCATCATCAAACTCGAAACCTTCAAGCCTCAACTCAAGCATAGATTTCGATTTCTGCATTCCCGGCGGCGTTACTTCCGGCGAAAGCTTCGATCAAGGTTCTTGGTCAGCCGACGAGCTTTTCTCCAACGGCAAAATCTTACCTACCGAAATTAAGAAAAAGCCAGAACCGGTTAAAGACTCGCACCAACCCGAACCGAAACCGGTTAAGAGTAAACCGGATTCAAGAAAACAGAGGAAACAGAACGAGGAACAAGAAGACGACGTGATAACCACGACGGCGGAGGAGAAGAACAATACGAAGTCGTTTTGGGGGTTTAAGAGAAGCAGTAGTTTAAACTGTGGAAGCAGCTACGGACGAAGCTTATGCCCTTTGCCGTTGTTAAACCGGAGTAACTCAACCGGTTCAACATCGAGTAAACAGAAACAGAGCAGCTCGAGGAAACACACAGAGCATGTTAAGTTACAGCAGTCTTCATCGTTGTCTTCTTCATCTTCGTCTTCGTTGAGTAGTAGCAATAATGGTTTCTCGAAACCTCCGTTGAAGAAAAGCTATGGAGGGTATAGTTATGGTAGCCATGGAGGTAACGGGATAAGAGTGAGTCCGGTTATAAACGTTGTCCCTTCTGGGAACTTGTTTGGTTTTGGTTCCATGTTTTCTTCTGGTAATGGAAGAGACAAGAACAAGAAGAGATAAAAAAAGAATGTAAAGAGTAAGTTTATGTCTTTTTATGGGTTTTTTTTACTGTTTGATTCTGATTTGTTCTTCTTCTTCATCTTCTTCTTCTTCTGAAGCTCTCTGAAGATTTTCTGACAGTGTGTTTTGTGGGGTTCCATGACAACCCTTTTGAGTTTTTTATTTTATTTTTCTTTAGATTTTATTATAATTTGTTTAGATTATGTGGTGTAATTGTGTTTGTAGTTTGTCTTTATCAATGTTTATAAAATCTAGATTTTTTTTTTTTTTTAATATGAGGCTGCTAATTTCAGATATTTGTTCATCACCAATCACCATAAAGATATTTATATATAAATAGTTAGGGAGTTTATAATTAGAGCGATAAAGATAAGGCAAAGAACTAAGTCATATTTTCTTGGTATTATTTTGATATTAATAAAGCTTACGAATATTTATATTTTATTTAGAAAAATATTGCTAATGTAAAGTTATATATTAATTTTATTATATTTTTACGAATTTTGTACTGTTTTATACGTTTTTCCGTAAAATAATGTTCTAAGTTTGGTTTCCACTTTTAAATAATTTTTAATACCAAAAACCAAATTAATATGACTTTAATTAGTCTTAATATTATTGGATCAAAATAATCAAATACTAATTTGTTTGGGCAAAATTGTGGATCAAGTAAAGGTAGGTTTCAGCAGGCCGTGTCGTTCTCAATCAATGATTCTAAAATTGATTCGTTTACTTGAATAACCAAATATAATAAAATTAGTAGTTGAAACTTGAAATATATTAATATGAAATAAAGAAGACATAGATATAAAACCTTGACTTAGTCTATTACTAAAACATTTTTTGTTTGGTAATTAAATAGTGACTAATTAAGGATAAAACTATATAAAAAAATAACAATGATAAGTTTTATTAGAAAATGCGACAAGACAAGTGACAGGTAAACAATTATCTTTGGAGCTTGTCCTATTCTGTTCCTTTATGAATATTTCTCACATGGTGTGTGTGTGTGTGTGTATTACCCAATTAATGTCAATTATCACTAAAGCAATGCAAAAGAAAAAAAAAAAAATTGATGTGAAATCTCTACTTTTTTCTTATCATTTCCATGTAAAGTTTAGCTTAACGTCGTGCCAATTATTCCTTTATTGTTTTCTACGTTTTTTTTAAAGCTTATCAATCTTAGTTAGTTCACACGATTCATATCAAACATTTATACTCCAATGCCTTTAATTTATAGGTTGATTTTAGAAAATGAAACGATTCGATCTTCAACACCAAATCTGATCGCGATGAATAAGACTTTTTCTAAGGCTTAGTAATGATGTTTGAAAGATATGTATAGTCAAGAGTCAAGTAAACAATGATGGCACCATCCAACTGTTATCACATATTCTTTTAGTGTTGGAGGATATTAAGTTTGTGGGCATTGGATGGTTATAACGAAACAATAGGTGTAGTCCAAAACGAACTCGTTACTTAAATAACACATACATGTGCGACTGTGTGCTAACGAGGGTTGCACAAGTACACAACAAACCATGGATCGTTTGGATCCATTGGGCAGTCCTTTATATAGTAGCTAGAGGGTGAAACGTCTATATGATCGATCATGATAATGTTTCTTTCTTAATAGTTTTGAATATTGTGATTTTTTTTTATCTAAGAAGTATATTACTAATTCAAAACACAAAGCTCAAAAAATATATTTATATAGACACATTCAAATTATTTTGAATTCTTTCATGTTAAAGTATAGAACATTTAGCAATAATTGAAAAAAGTCGAATGGTCCATTCATATTTTTCTTTATATAACTTTATCAGTTGTTGTTGTTAACATGATTGGAATCAAATAAATTATAAAAGCTTCTCACAAGTTTATATATAGAAGTATAGAACTCAATTTATGAAGACATGCACTTATATGTATTCTAATCAGAACCTTAATTACATGCAAAGGGGTTTATATATCCTTATCGTATATTTTCTAGTTTGTTGACCAATGTTGATTGGATATTAAATAGTTCAAAACTTCAAAGTCCTTTTAAAACTAATCTTGAAATGCATTACAAAACTAGTTGTCATGCATATTATAAAAGAAAGATGAAGTTATCATTGTAGTGAAACTGTTTATTTAGAGGTCACTTTTAAGACAAGGAAGTATGGATGACAATTATAATCCAGAAGATGTCAACCGCCACATGGTTTGTAGGGCACTCACTAAAAACACACTTTAAATCCTATTCTCTTCTGGTTGTCACTAATTTTTTATTCTTCTTTCTAAAAAAAAAAAAGTTATTATCAAAAACTTGTTTTTCTTTATATGTGTACCTTTTAATACATGAAATTTACGAGTAATTTATGATGCTTTGGTACTAATTTTTTTTTTTGAATTTAATGTTAAATTATACTCAAAAGAAAAATAACGTTTTTACAATTAGTGAATCGTTTGATAGAGAAAGATGCTTATGAAACAATATTGAGAAAAAATCGAAAAACAATTTTAGCCACGAGATTGGATCCATAATTGAAAATCCGCGTCATACCGCCTACCTCCAGCTCTCCGAATTGAAAATAGTCTGTCCCTAACTTGTTTGTCAAGCCATTGAGTGAGTTGTGCTGCTGTTGTCGGAGGTACTAAAATATATTAACCTCTTGCAATAAAAGTGGTGAAGTTAATTTGAAATTCGGTACATAATAAATGGTAATAACCACAGATTGTCAATTTTAGTACGATGAAATGCTTGGATGTTTGGTTAAAAACAACAAAATCAACACTTGAGTTTGATTCAATATATTTATATGTTAGTTTCCATAATTAACACTCACACTCTAAACTAAGTTTTGTTGTACGTACGTAGCCAGAAGATATGCTTTAGCGGTTGGTATTAGTTAGTGTTATCACAGTATGACATTTATAATTGTAAAAATGTTGTGGTTTTAGTAAACATTTTTGGTAATCCATGGTTCTTTAAAAGAAACTTACGGCTGAATTCATATAACATACGACAATGCTAATATAAAACTGATCGATGCACATGGATAAAGAATAATATGAGCTAAAGTGCTAAACAATACTACAATAGGTTAGCTAGTTAGGTACTAATTAGGTTCGATTCATGCACTTGATCAATCAAGAATAATTTGCATGGAGGAAACGAATAATGTGGATTATGTAATTATTATATGCTTTAATTATGTTTAATGTAGTTTAGATTTTAATGAATTTTAGTTATACACCAAATTTGGAGGTCAGTTTGTATTTTGTTCAGTTTATTCGTTATAAGGATAGGTTTACTAATCTATATTATAAAATTCGAGTTGGTTCCTATGCTTAAGAGATATAATTAAAATCTCAATCATGCATGGGCCAAACCGATCATATTGAGAGAGCCTAGCTAGTTGAGTTAAATTATGATTAACAAATACAGTATTCATGCATGCACAAGGTATTTAATTGTCCAACACGTGCAAACTTATAAGCCAGAAATAAGTAAACATACTTATATAAACTTTTTAATTATTCAGAAACGAGTACTACTAAACTTAGAGTTTGTTTCTATATAGCACGCACTAGAAAAAAGCATGTGGTCCAATCTTTTTATATATATACAAATCTCTTTTTTAAGCTATTTTGTCTATATATCCATCTTAAAAAATATAACAGCTTCTAGATATATACAATAATTATTATTTTTTTGGTCAAAAGAAACAATAATTTATATATATATATATATATATATAAATATGTACAAGAGATTTTATGTAAAATATATTTTATTATTCAAATTAGATATAAAATATATAGTTTTATATTTGTTTTACTAACAAATTATATCGTGATTATTTGTTTGTTATTTCTCTTTTAATGTATATAATACTAATTTACATTTTTAACGTTCTTTTAACAGTTCTTCATCTATTTTCCGCAATTTCGCAGTAATCATAGTGCTCTCATTTTCACACAAATGCCATATTATTTTATTTTCAAATTGATATTTTCGAAATCTCGGTTGTACATAAATCTAATTATCATCTTAGAGCTGTAAACCTTTCCAGTAAGAGTACATACATAGTACTAATCATTTCCTAAGGAAATTAAACATCTTTTCATAAGTTGTTCAGGACCTCTTCTAATTAGCAAATTTTCTTTCAAGATTTGAATGATTGCTGGATTCTAAATATCTGAAAAGCTATGATTTTTTTTTAATTACAAGAGTTAGTACGACTGAAAAAGTTAGAAATGCAAAATTAATTCAACTATATGTATAGTTTGTTGCAATGTAATAATATACAATTAACATACATCTCTTTGCTCGGTTGTTGAACGAACATCCAAAGTTTAGAAGAAAAATACAGTTTTAAATACATTTCCAGAATATAATATTAATATTTGTTACTATGAAACTTCACATATTTATTCATCGAAACAACATTTTTATTGAAAATGTTAATTTTTAAAAAGTGATATTTCTCATGAGAAACAAAACATGAATGATGCCAATATTGGTCAAAATGTTGAAGTGAAAGAAAATAAGAATTACATAAACTCGCTAGTGAGAAAATATTGTCTAAATTTTGATGTGGTTTTCATTAAAAATGTTAGATTGTATTTAAAATAATACATATTGATTAAATACAAATAAAAAAAATTGTATTCGTATATAAACGAATAATTTGTTAGTTGTTTTTTATTCTTTTAATAATTGTTAAGTTGAAATATTTAGTTATATCACTTTTGATATTATTATACATATAACACTATAACAGTAATAGTATTAAATTATTATATTTCTTGGCATTTAGATATTCAACTTAGATATTTTTATTTATCTGCTGTTTATTCATCTCAATTTCATTATTCAGCTTATTTTTGTTCATATATTCAGTTACTCAAGTTTTTTTTTTTTTTCTATGTTACTCAAGTTGAGTTTACTTAATCGGTTGCGCTTAATTAACATTTAACACCATAATTGTTCCAACTATTTTATTTACTTTGATCAAAACATTAATTACGTTTAAGTTGCAAAGTCAACTTTGAACCAAGTCAACGTACATGTACTTGTACTAAATGATATAGGCTACAATAGATATAGCTCTGAGTGGTTTACTTTGTTTTGAACATTTAGCAATAAAGGACAATATTTCCACGGGCTTGTAAATGTTTAAGTTCATGAAACCAAAGCCCAACATATTTTTCTGGATCAAAAGCCCAACATCTTTTGCATGTAAGAATATGAAGTATTTTTTTTTCATATGTCCACAATTATTATGTTTTTTTTTTTTTTTTCTTTTTTGTTAACTTAGGGTAAATCCCCAGACCTATGGAAGGATCCGAGATTAATCCTTAAAAAGAGGGTATCTCACGGGTATGGTACTTCCAAGCTTTCAAATGGACCTTAACAAGAGGTTTATACCCATGTGGTCAAAAAGATAAAGCTAGCAGTTCTGCGACCCAATTGTTATGTTAAACATATAAATTTTGACAATAATATGTGTAACGGTAAATGTCTATATAATGATCTTATAAATCACGTATCCTCTTTCCCATAAGAAAATATAATATATATAAATTTTCTTTTTTTTAAAGCAACACGACATGTCATTGTAAATTTTTAATAAACCTTTTATACACTAAAAACACATCACATATATCCTAACGACAGAGTTCTACAGAATGCCTCATGAGTTTTTTTTTTTTTAAATAAAATAAATTTCCGTCTTGGTCAAAGTGTTGCTTTTTCAAAATGGTAAAATTGGCTTAACTAGTTTTATTCGAAAACTTAACTATTTCTATTGTTTTGACAATATTTTGTAATTTTTTTCTCATAAACAGTATATATATTTGAAATTAAATGCATGTGTATATATATTTATTTAAATATTGAATTCATGTGTATATTTCATAATTTCTTTTGAAACAATTTGCTACGTTTAAAAATAGATGGTCCCTCAAAAAATTTTGTATTTTTCGGAAGGAGTTAATTACCGGATATTAACTTTTTTTGAGTGGCATTTGTGAATTTTGGAAGGTTTAATATATGTTATGATTTATGAAATACGTATTTTAGTAAAAGAAAAGGATTTTAAATGTGCCAAAATAGTATTTTTACATATTTGAATAAAAATGGCACACTCATAATTCAGCCTCATGTGATGCATACAAAATTTCCTTTACAAAAAAAAAAAGTGATGCATACAAAATTTTGAAAATAACATTTTCTAATTTTTTATTTAAAATATTATATTTTTAAAATAATATGTTATTTGATCATATAGTCTATGAATATCTCACATGTTTATTTTTATGTTAGTCTAATTTCAAAATCAGTTTTTTTTCCTTTACTCACTACAAATCGGTTTCTAAAAAAGAATGCATCTCACTATGGACAAAATATCCATAACCAATACAAACATGCGTTTGTGATACATATACTCTTTACAAAACATATGATGCCTATTAAAAAAAGATGTAATTTATACAATACAAAAAAAAATCAAATATACTATTCTGGTGAAAATAATAATAACCATAACTGTATAACTGTCACCCTTATGTTAAATCAAAACCACAGTATTCTAGAAAATGCACCAGGAATCTTTGTCTCTCTTCATCTTGGTCAAAATGTTACTTTTCTCAAATAGTAAAAAAAAATATTGCTATAGTATTTTTTTTCTTTATTTTTGAGTTTTTGACAAAATTTGATCCCTTCTTTTTTATTGTTTTCGTGTTGGGAATTTCCAAACAGTTATATTACTAAAAGTTATCAATATATAGCTAAACAAAATATTTTAAAATATTGAACGTATGTGTAAATAACTATATATATCAGTTTAGAAGAAAATAATACAATTGGTACAGTGTGATTTGAGTATAAGTGGGAGATTCCTAGCGTGTATGGAGTTCTTGTCCGTGACATTTCAGAATTCGTCAGACTCAGACAAAGACGCAACTCTGTTTTCTTCTGTCTTATTACATTTCAAACTTTTTTACACCTATCTCTATCTATGGACATACACTATATGGAGTTCACTATTATTATTTTACTAGAATCTAAAGTATACAAATAATGAAGCTCTTCTTTGAGTCTTGATTCTTGAACCCTTTGATTAATGCAGCTAACACAATAGTCACAACAACATTGGATATAGGTATTGATAAAAGTTTAGGAAATACATATACTTAGAGTTGTATGTTTACTAGGTCTTGATAAAAGCTTTAGGAACTATGGACTACTTAGAGTTGTACTTAAAACTTTTCCTAAAGTACTCTTAGTACAACTCACCCAAATCTGGATTATTTGAGTTGTATGATTATCCGAATCGAGTTTATTTGATATCAGAGAAGACTAGTTTACTTGCTTTAATTTTTTCTTCCTCCGAGAAAAAATAGGATTCTTACGGATTTTGCCATTTTCTAAGACAAATTTTACGAATGTGCCATTTTTGCTAAAATTTTTGTGGATTTGCCATTTTCGAATTTTTAAATTTTTTTATTTTTTGATTTTATTTGCTAAAAGACGTATTATATAGTAAATATTAAACCCTAAAGACAACTAAAACCGACTAAACACAAACATAACAAGTAAAACGCGTGTTTAATCAAATTTTTCTAACTTGAGATATGGCAAATCAATAAGATTTTACGGCAAAACCAAAAATGCCATTAAAAAAATTCCTTATTGAGTAATTAACTCAAAAAATATTTTTCTCGCTCTAATCTCATACTTGAGAGGATTATTGCATATAACCATAATTTTTTGATGAATTAAAATGTTAAATTTAAAGAAAATTTGTATATCTAGCTAATATGTTAAATAACAATTTGGTAACTATTCATTACCAAAAATAATAAATCCCTAAGTTTTGCTTACAAGATAAAAATCCTTAATGGGATTATAAGAAACTTGAAACAGATTTAAAAGTTTATGTTTTTTTTTTCCATAACCTTTTACAACTCTGCACGATCATTTCTATACATGTATTCATTTCTATCCATGAACCTTATAAGTCCTTACCTAAACATAATTAAGTTAACATAACAGTAGTGGACCTTATCACATATAGTCTTTAAGACTACAGAAGAAATTATGATTTCAACATGCATGAATAATAATTTTATCATTCTTAACGAGCATTGGTTCGTGACCTATATATTATACTGTTATTGTTGCCCTAGGAGACAAACTAGTACCACAAACCTCTTAAAAACCCCATCACACACCATTGTCATCTCACAAAGGTCAGGTCGTTGTTTAGCCTCACCAAAAATGGCTATTCCAACTTTTTTTTTTCTTTTCTTTCATTTGTCCCACAAAATAATTACACTCAGATGTATTGTCCACGTGTCTTTAACTGATTGGCCAACAAGAAAATCATATGGCCAAGAAGAAAGTTGTATTATTTTTTCAAGTATTGGTTTCAAAAACCAATGAAGAAGTTTGGAAGTGAGAAAACGGACTACAGAGGAAGGTGGAATCCTCAAAAACGAGAAACAGAAACCTCTCTCGAACCTTTCACCTTCTTGTCATGTTCGAGTTTCGGAACCACATTTTCCGCTTCTTATATCTGAGAAACCCTTATTATATTTTTATTTTGTTTTTTTAGTTTCATAAGAAATCTGAATTTTTTCTTTTTAATATAATCATCCGACAATTGTTATTTGGTATTGAACAGTTTGGTTTGGATCGATTTGGTTATTGAATAATTCGATTCGATTTTGTATGTTGGTCAATAAACCTATTTGGTTCGATTTGGTTATTGAATATTTCGATTCGATTTTGTATGTAGGTCTATAAACCTATTTAGTTCGATTTGATTCTAAATTTTAGAATAAGTTTGATATATTTTTCTTTTGCAATTTTTATAAATCTGAATAATTGTATATAATCTATCTTATAAGAATTATTTGGTATTGAAATATTTGGTTCGGATCAATTTGGTTATTGAATAGTTCGACTCGATTTTGTATTTATAATCCGTAAAAATATCTGGATCTCTGATAATAAGTTTGATATTTTTCCGTAAATTTTGTATAGTCCGGTTTATTTTGGTTAGTTAGTTTATAAAAAGAAAAGAAATTAGAGTTTTAGTAAAGTAAAATAAGAAATTAGTTTATTTGTTCATAGCTTATAGACATGAAGACTTTGGTTCTATTTTGGTTACTCGTTTAAATTTTCGATTAATCGATTTTTGAAAACTTTCCGAATAAGTATTTAATTCGTTGATAGAAAAAAGTATTTAATTCAAGTCGGTTCTGTTATCAAATTTTCTGTTTTGGATACATATTACTGACAAAGATTTCATTTCTGTTTTGGTAATTTTTTTAAAAATTTTAATATAATAAAATTTACTTTGGCTAAAAAAACAATTTAAAAGAAAAATTAGTCAGGTAACCATTCAAATTAAATGATTCAATTCTGTGAACTGAACCAATACCTAAACCCATCTAAAAATCATGTTAATCGGTTCACTTATAGTAAACGATCCCAAACCAGATTAACCAAGAACCACTAACCGAAAAATAAAAAAATAAAAACAATTTGTTTCTTTGCATATTTGTCTTTCTCTTTTAAACTCCTCGATAAAGCTCTTTACCATCTCTAATAAGTCTACTTTGTATCAGCTACTTAACCTTTTGTGCGCATGCTTCTCTCTCTCTTCTGTAACAATCTCTCTCGAGCCCCTTTCACCGCCAGTGAGTGACAACAGAAGAGAATCACAGTAATAATTTTTACAGAACAACAACTCTCTCATCTCTCTCTCTCTTCTCTCTAATCTAATCTCCTCTGTCCTCACCTCTCTTTCAATCACTTCTCGTCACTATCGTGTTGCTTTTGTCTCCTTTCACTTTTTTTTATTACTCTCTCCCAAGTCCCAATTGCGAATATTACCCGTTGAGTTCTCAATTCTTGACACAAGACCTTTTTTTCCTTCTTTCTTCTAACTACAAAGCTTCTGTCTTATGTAATGATTCTTAAAGCTCTCTTCAGTTTCTTTTTTTCTTTCTTCTTCTTCCACTGTACCATTGTCGTTTTCTTCATTTCCAACTGTCTTCTTTCTTACCTTATTCTCGTAAAACTAAGCTATTGATAATGTTTATGATGTACATTCATCATCTCTGAGAGATTCCCCCAAGTTCACAAAAGCTGAGTTACTTTTATAAAGTATCAGACTTTTTCCTTTTTTCTTTCTCTGGGTCTTTGGCTCTTTGCTTCGTTCTTGATTATGTGATAAAAGTCTTGGGATTTTGAGGCAATGTGCTTGAGATCTCTCTGAACTTGTAGAGGGTTTGTTAGGGTTTCGTTGTTTTAGTCATCTTGATGACGGGAGAGTTACAGGAGACGGCGCCGTGTGCGGCCATTACTGAGAAACGGCCTAATCGACTCGGTGGTTGCGTCGGTGTTTTCTTTCAGCTCTTTGATTGGAACCGACGCTTTGCTAAAAAGAAGCTCTTTTCTCGCAAATCACTTCTTCCTGGTTTCTCTCTCTCTCTCTCTCTCTCTCTCTCTCTTTCACTGCCTCCTTTGTCTCTCTGTCTTTCTCGCTCTGTTTTTGTCTTTCTCAGGTTGTGTCTGAAAATGGATGATGCTGAGTTAGTGTTTATCTATGGTTGTATCAGGGAAACAAGTGTCGAAGAGGTTTGGAGGGAATGAGAAGATGCTCAAATCTAAGCTAAATCTGGTGAATGTTTCTCACTTTCGTCAAAGTTTATATCTTTAGTTTGATTGAGTTGTTACAGTGAACTAATAATACTCTTTGTTATAGATTGATGATGAGAACAGAGGAAGTTTTCCTAATAGGAATGAAGTCATGGAGATTAAAAAGCATGAGATGAGATCTCCTAGTTTAGTAGCACGTTTAATGGGGCTTGACTCAATGCCATCTAACCATAGAGACAAAGGGAAGAACAAGAAGAAACCAAAGATTCAGGAGAACAGTAGATGTGATGTGTTTGGTGGGGAAGAAGAAGAGAATGGTTTTGATAAGTTAAGGCCACAGAAGATGCAGAGAACAACAGGGGTTTGTGACAGACGTGTTGCGGTTAAGAAGTTTGGTTCTGAAGCGTTGCAGATTAAGAATGTTTTGACTCGTGTTAGGAAACATCATCAGTATAATAGTCATCATCATCAGCATCAGAAGCTTGCTTCTCCTGTTAGAAGTCCGAGGCTTAATAGGAGGAATTCTAGGTTGATTGATGCTGCTAATAGGATTTTGGAACCAGGGAAGAGAAATGCGAAATGTGTTATTGCTTATCCAGGTTCTTCAGGGGTTAGAAGATTTGACAATGCCATGAAAGAACCAGTTGAAGTTGTTGTTTTGCCTGAGTTGCAACGTGGTTTTAACAGTAGTGTTGCTTCTTGTAAAGCATGTGGTAGCTTGGTTGATGTGAATGGTTCAAGTCCGGTAGCTGAAGAAACTGGAAAGAACATGAGTTGTGTTTCTGAATCAACGCCTTTTCAACGGAGTAAAAGAAATGTGTTTTGGAGAAATGAAGAATCACCATCTGCTTCTGTTTTTGCTAAAGATAGTACAGATCAAATGGCTAGGGAAGCTCTTCATCGTGCCCGGTATGACTTTAGTGGGAAGCATGGTAAGGATGAAATCTCGCTGCCGGGTGTTACCTTGCAGAACAAAAGAGGTTGTTCTTTACCTGCAAATGCAATCAACTGTAAAGAGAAAGACTTTATAGCTATGAATAGAGGTTCACCTAGTAGGAACTTGAAGCTCCAGAGAAAATTTGCTGAGGAGTCTTATAATAGGTCGGGATTAAGCAGTCCAGCGCGGAAGAGAAGGATAGCTTGCGATAGTAGTCACGAACGAGGAAGTAGCTTAATGAATCCAGTGCCAGTGCCAAGAAGACCAGATGGTGAATGGTCATGCCCATGTAGTAATGACCCCAGTGGTAGCAATGAAACTGCATTGAAACCTGGTTGTTCCCCTCATAGAAGTTATAGCCAAGGTTATAAAGAAACCAAAGAGAGGAAAGGAGTTCGACGTGTTGCACATCAGATGGGCGAAAGAAACTCAAGAACATCGTTTCCAAGGCCACCGCTTGATGTAGGCACTCTTGGGTTGATTCAGCAAAAGTTGAAAGAATTGGCTTCTAAAGAAGAAGATGATGCTGTGGGAGGAAGTGCTTTACCCAATAAATCAGCATCTCTGATCCTCCATGAGTTGCTATCTTCTTTAGCTTTGGAGCAGCGGTATATTCGAGATATCGATATGCCTTACGCAGAACCAGCTTATCGGGTATGTGTATAACCTGCAAGGACATCACCGTTTAGTATTATATCTTTATTCATTTTGCTTTTTGATTCTTGCAGAGGAAACGCAAACCAGAGTTGTGGAGTTCAATAGGAAATGCAAACAGTGAATACACGAGTCCAGGTTCTGTACTTGATGCATCTTTCTCCAATGAGAGTTGTTTCTCGAATAGCTTTGACAATCTCTCAGGTACGTAACATTAATCAGACTACTGTTTCCTGCAAAAAAGAAGTCAGTTCTCGTATTTGAAACCTGAAACTGCTATTATGATTTGTAGTTCCAGGACAGATGAAGCTACCTCTAGAGCCTATAGAACCTGATTGGGACATTCTTGAAGATTCTTTGACTCCATTCAAGAACTCAAAAAGCGGTAGTCATTATCAAGCTATCGCCAGTCTTGTCAGCCATATCTCTATCACCCTCCGCTGTTTAAGCAACACGGGTCTCATGTTAACGCAGCAGAGATCCACAATTGCAAGAGAAGTCATAATCCATACCGAGCTATTGGCTGGTACTACAACTACACAAGAGAACTACTTCATTGGTCCAGAACTCTTCGATGAACTCATGATCTACGCAGCTCGTTCTGATCACCTAGTCAACCTCCCTGGACTAACAGGAGGTTTCCTCGTGGATGCCATGATCGAATACTTGGAAGAAAGAAACATTTCTTGTGGAGGATTAAAGCCTTTGATTGCTAAACCTGACGAGTTGATTCAAGGAGTTCTCCAAGAAGTTCCAAAATGGGGAAGATTAGCTCGGATTAGTATGGATGAAGTTATCAGCATCGAGATGGAGAAATGGCTGGATCTTGAAACCCATTTATTTGGAGTTGGATCAGAGATTGCATATGAAATCCTTCGGTGTTTGGTTGGAGAGTTAACAACTGATCTCGGGACAACCTTATCGATGAACTGAAAACTAATATCTTTTAGAACCTACAAGATCATGTTTGTGTAACTTCACTATTCCTTATGCTATTCAAGACACTAATCAGTGTTTGCTTTTCTGCTAACTAAGCAATTTTTATCATTGTTTATACAATCAGGTTAAACTTGATCCTCTTCGAACAGAACAAAGATAGGTATGAATCTGAACAGAAGTGGATTCATTTCCCATATACAAATCCTCAATCACACAACCAAAAATCTGAAAAAAGGACTAATCTTTCATCAATCAAAACCCACAAAAGAATAGAGAAATCCGTAGGAAAACAAAAAAAAAATCAAACTTTAAGCCACAAATGTTAGATTTTGAACACAACAAAGATCATAGAATCAGTAAATTTGTCTGTAACCTAGAATAGTCCGACCACCACCACCACCAATTGATTTCCTTCCTCCTCCTCCACCGCCAAGCGACTTCCTTTTTCCTCCTCCGCCGCCGTTAATGGCAGAAGCAGCAGCCATAGAAACTTTCTTAAGATCATCAACATTCGCATAGCTCTTACGCATCATCCCAATACCTTTCTTCTCACCAGCACTCGCTGAGACACTCCCTCTCAAAGCAGATCCGGCGAATCTACTCTTAACCGGCGGAGAAGTAAACTCTGTTCTCCGAGGAAGCAAATTCGAATTAACCGGTTTACGATTCTCTTTACGAATCATATCAGAGAAGTCAGGAACAGATTGAGCCAACGAAGACGACGACGTTTTCCTCAGATTCGGAATAAACCCAAATCTCGTCTTCTTCTCCGGCAAAACCCTTATCTCATCTTCTTCTCTGAACCCAAATCTCACTTGCTCTTCTTTAAGAATCTTCTCGAAGTCTCGTTTCACTCTAAGCTTCGATTCTCTTAGTCTCGCGTATTCTCCGTATCTAGGTCCTCTCTCGAATCCGTAATCGCCATTGTCAACCAAAAGCTTGAGTTTTTGTTGCGTTTCGGAGATTGGATCGATGGAAAACAGCAGATGTTCCATACTAGGGTTTGAGATTGTATCATCCATTACTGAGTTCTCTCGTCTTCTTCTTCCTCACAAAGTTTGGAACTTTATCTTATTGAAAATGGCTTTTTGTGATTCGTAACGGTCTGATTGAAAACAAAGAGAGAGAGGAGGCTCCTACGGTATTTTGTTGTACTGACGATTTTACCCTTTTCAACGGTCTTATTTTAGTGACCGTTGACCAAACCGGTTTAATAGAGAATTTTGCAGATTCGGTTTAATTGTTTTGCATATTTGTTCAAAATTAAGACGGTTTCACTAAACCTAGTAAAAATAAAGGTTTGAGTAAATTTACTTTTCTTTAAAAGGGAAACAATTTTTTATGTATTCGTTTAATTAATTACCGATAAGGGGATTATCAGAAAAAGGAAAAAAAACGATGGTTTAACCAAACCGACAATGTTTATCTCAAGTGATTACTGAGTAATTACTTCAGAAAAGGAAAAATGTTTTATTTAACTGGTTTAAGTACTGATTAGCAAAGTCAGAAAAGGGAAAATAACATCGATTAGTCAGAAAACTGAGTTTAGGCTTAAGTCTATATATATCGAATTAGAAAATTACAGAGTGATCAGTTCCATATCACATTCTTTCGTAACAAGCAAACACAAAACACAACTCAGTTCTTATTGTCTCGTTCTCTTTGTCTGTGAATCATCATAATGGGTGGATTGAAGAGGAAGATTGATATAAAGAAGATAGGGAAGAAAGATCCACGAGCGGTTACTTTCTCAAAACGTCGTAAGGGTCTTTACAGCAAAGCTTCAGATCTTTGTCTTCTCTCCGACGCTCAGATGGCGATCCTAGCAACTCCGGTCTCTTCTAACTCACATGCATCTTTCTACAGTTTTGGTCACTCCTCTGTCGATAGTGTCGTCGAAGCTTTCCTCACGGATCAGACTCCTCCTCGGAATGATGATGGTGATGATGAAAAGCTAGGGTTTTGGTGGGAAGATGAGAGTCTTATCGATTCAGAGGACCCGGAGGAGTTGGGAGAGATGATTGATTCAATGAAGAAGATGTTACACGATCTGAAGGAGTTGGAAAATAAGGGGAGAGATCGTGTGGACGTGAAGAAGGAGAAGGGTGTCTCACACGTAACTTGTCAAGAGCAAACCCTAAATCATCAACCGTGTTCTTCAAGTCAATGCATTGATCAAGTTGATGTAACTGTGAACCATGTCGAAGGGTTTCACAACAACACCGAAGAACAAACCCTACCGGTTTCTGACTACATCAACAACAACAACGGTTTACTTGGGAGCTACGATAGGTGTGATCAAGAGTTCCTTGATCAAATAGTCTCTGAGTTTCTGAAGAACACTGAAGTTCCATTGATGCATCTGCGGGCGATAGATGATTTGGGATATTGATCTAAATCAAACCAGTCGGTTAATTAGCCTTAAGTAATAATTACAAACTATTATTTAGTTGTATGAAGCCATAATACGAACATTCCAAACTTAATACGAAATTATATAAGATTTTAATTTTTAAATGTATCAATTAGATTTGGTTTCTATAATTAAACCCCCGTGAGTACATTCCAAAATATTTTACCAACCAAAAACATACCGATTTATTCAATATATTTTTTTAATTACATTAGAATTTTGTCTTGAAATGTATCATCTTTGTTATGGTTTATATAATTAAAAACTTGAGTACATTCCATCATACTTTATCAACTAAATGCTAAGCAAAATATTATGATGAACTATATTTTCTTTCAACAAGTATTGTTTTCTCTTATTAACCATGAATTGATGTACAGTTTCTCAGAAAATAATGATGAGTAAATTTATTCATGTAATTGATAATATTGGAAAAATTATTTCAAAAATTATGAACTCAACCAAATGTTTGGTATTATAGTTATTTTTGGAAACCCCAAATAATCATATTAGTTTTACGGTTTTAGACCGAATTGAAACCAACAAATTTTTAATAACTATAACAAAACTTATTATTGAAGGAAACTAAACCTGAACCGAATCACTTACAGTCGGTTCGGTTTTTATGGTAACTTTTTTTTTTAGCTTCCTAGGAGGACCAGTTGATGACACCCATGAATTTTAATAATATTATTTAGTTTTTGTTAAGATTTAGTTAGGACCGTTATTGGTTTATTGATTTGTAAATCTATATAGGATTTGTGAATTTTTATTAATTATGAAATCAAAATACATGGATTTTGAAAAACATGATTTACCCTAAGATTTGAGTCATTCTATCTTGCACTATCAAATCCATTTAAAACATATTATGGATATTAAAATCCGAAAACAAATCACTAATCGAATAACATATGATTTTAACTAGTATTTATAAATCATACAACCAATAACACATGATTTAATTATTTTAAAATCAATAATTGAATAACGTATGCTTTTTAAAAAATTTTTATTAAACCCCATTAACCAATAACCCCCTAAAAGAATACATTATGAAACAATAGAACATACTAGTCTAACAATTTTACTACATATATAAGATACAATATATTTATCAAACTGAGATGAACTTAATCATATATTATTTATGTTACACACTCTATTCATATCTTTACCTTGTAATAATCAGCAGAAGAAAAAGACATATTTATCATCTTTTTGTTTGTCTACTTTTAAAAATGTCTTCTATGTTGCGATCGTAATAGTATAAATATTACGAAGATAACCTCCATAATTGTATTGGTTTTACATTTGATTTGAGTGATTAGTTTTTTTTTTTTTAATATATAAGAAGAAGATGGGTATTTGACATTTTGACTAGTAACAAGAAGATAACCTCCATATAATTAAAAATGAAAAAAAAAAATATAATACATGAGTGAAGAAAAATATTTCACTATTTTAAATTTAATTCTTAAAAAAAAAACAAAAAACCCATTTTTACTTGTCGATTAGGGGAATATCAGAAAAAAGAAATAAACTTAATGGTTTAACTGAACCGGTCTTGGTTCGTCTCTGATGGTTTTGAGTAATACTTAAATTACCGATAAGGGGATTATCAGAAAAAAAAGGAAATAAACAATGGTTTAACCCAACCGACCATGTTTATGTAAGGTGGTTATTGAGTAATTACTTCAGAAAAGTAAAATATTTGTACTTAAGTTGTTTAATTACTGATTAGCAGAGTAAGAAAAAGGAAAGTAACATGGATTAATCAGCAAACTAAGTTTAGGCTTAAGTCTTTATATATCGATTTAGAGAAACAAAGTGATCAGTTCCAATATCACATTCTTTCGCAACAAGCAAACACAAATCTTATAGTCTTGTCTCGTTCTCTTTTGTCTGTGAATCATAATGGTTGGCTTGAAGAGGAAGATCGATATAAAGAAGATAGCGAAGAAAGATCCACGAGCGGTTACTTTCTCAAAACGTCGTAAGGGTCTTTACAGCAAAGCTTCGGATCTTTGTCTTCTCTCCGACGCTCAGATGGTGATCCTAGCAACTCCGGTCTCTTCGAACTCACACGCTTCTTTCTACAGTTTTGGTCACTCCTCTGTCGATAGTGTTGTCGAAGCTTTCCTCACGGATCAGACTCCTCCTCGGGATGATTATGAAAAGTTAGGGTTTTGGTGGGAAGACGAGAGTCTTGCTAACTCAGAGAATCCGGAGGAGTTGGGAGAAGCGCTTGGTTCAATGACGATGATGTTGCATGATCTGAAAGAGTTGGTAAAGCGTCGAGATCGTGTGGATGTGAAGAAGGAGAAGGGTGTCTCACACGTAACTTGTCAAGAGCCAACCCTAATTCATCAACCGTGTTCTTCAAGTCTATGCGTTGATGATCAAGATGATTTAACTGTGAATGTGCAAGGGTTTCACAACAACAACGAAGAACAAGCCCATTCTGAAGCAGTAGTAGATGGAGATCAGTTGGTGGTGATCACTAATAGAGATTTGTGTGACAACAACATTCACTTGTCTGATTTGGATGAGCATCAGATCCTAGCAATCTCTGACAACACCAACGAAGAACAAACCCATTCTGAAGCAGTAGTAGATGGAGATCAGTTGGTGGAGACTAATAGAGATTTGTGTGACAACAACATTCACTTGTCTGATTTGGATGAGGATCAGATCCTAGCAATCTCTGACAACAACAACAACAACAACAACAACAAAAACAATGTTTTACCTGAAGACTTGAGTTGGTTCAATGAAGAGCTAGATATTGATCAGTTAATTGATTATGAGATGAACTTGGAGATGGATGGTGAGACGAAGCAAAGCATGTTCTCTGTTTCTGAAACTGTGGAAGAAGGAGGAGTGAGTCACAAAGATTTGGATGAGGACAATCTTTGCTTCTCTGACTATTTCAATGGTTTAACCTCCGTTGCTGCACTTTGAAACCCCCTTCAGAGATAACAAGTTAACCTTTAGATTCTTAATCTTAATAACTGTTTTGGTTAGAGACTATCCCATGTTTTGTTGTATGTTTGAAGTTTCCTTTATTAACTTTTTTGACTTATTGTGTCCGTGTGATGTCTTTGTATCAGACCAATAAGATAAAGCTTTGTTAGAACTTGAACAAAATAACATATTACAGAACCTTTTTATGTTGTTGCTAATGGCTCATTCATACTTAATAACTCTGACACTTAATACACATATATATCAAGACTATACACAAACTTATGAAAGGAAAAAAAGAGTTTATGAAACTACAAACTATAATCAAAACACTAATCAGTTTAATTTCTCGTATTGGTATAAAAATTCAAACAATCCAAAACCTAAGTTGACACTTCTACTCGATAGATAAAACTACAAATGATCCAAGTAAAACTACAAAAACCAACAAAACCACACAAGCTTACAAATGAATCAAGTAAAACCACAAAAAATCAATTACATATGAAGCCATACCAAGAACTCTCAATTACTTAGAAGCTTAAGAACCAAATCTTAAAAGAACGAAGCCCTTAAACTGAATGTTCTAATTTCAACACAAGACTATACAAAAAGGTTTTGGAATCACAGAGAGAGAGAGAGAGAGAGAGAGAGAGAGATTGTTTGGAAAACCTTGGTGGAGTGGTGCACATTATAACATACATTGCAGTAAAACTAATAGTGGCTAGCAACATATAACCAAATCATCACCTTCATCTCAAACTTAAGTTAAAACCCCTCGATGAAGTATAGATTAGATCTAGTAGCAATTTATAACAAAATAGACACCTAAACCTGATAGCAACGTACGAAACTAACAATGTAAAGAAGTCTCACTGACTTGCTAATCAACTTCTCTCAACAGTCAATACTATTTATATATATTTGCTTCAATTATAAATTTATAAATATAGACCAAAGTTGATATACTGATATAGGGAAGATAGTTCACATTGCATTTTTACAAGAAGAATGATTTTTTTTAAAAAAAAAAGTGAAGCAAACGCATACATAGAATATGAGATTTTTTTGAACTAAGATAAAAAATATCACTAATCTTAAACTGAAATTAAGATAAAAAAAAAAAAAATATTACTCTGTAAAAATGAAATCCGAATAGTAGTAATTTACAAATTTTGACTGGGCCAAAATACAAATTATTCATGGCCCAAGACTTAAGTGGAGATCAAGCCCAATACCATTATCTAACTTAACTCCATTACTATGATCACTCTCTCCGGCGAACCTCCTCATCGCCGGCAAAGATCCACCGTGAGCTTTAACCTCTCCGGCCATAGACTCAATCCCTCCGCCGTAAAGTCCTCTTCCACCATGAAAATAACCAACGGCGTTTTGTGACGCCATGTGCTCACCGTAAAGCCACTTAGAACTCGAAGAAGAAGAAGAAGAAGAAGAGAGCATCATATGCGGCGGAGGTTGCGGCGGAGAGAGGAGATGAGGCAGCGGCGCAAAGGCAGAGAGAAGCGGATTCGTATGAGGGTGAAAACTATGATGACGTGGCAAACCACGAGTGGCTAGCATCTGTGCACGTTTTAGAAGCTGACGCTCTTTCTTGTGAGCGTTTTGGTGACCACCAAGAGCTTGAGAGTTCGCAAACTCTCTACAACAATATTGACACTCATACTTACGTGACTCGGGTCTTGGCTCGGGCGACCGGTTTTGATCCGACGTCGTTTCAAGTAGGTTTATACCAAAGAGCTTCAAAGAAGAAGATGTTTCAGTAGCCATATATATGCAAGTTTATCTATATATGTATATGTACAAAGAGATAGAGAGAGACAGATATATAAAAAGTCTTCTTGAAAATGGAAAGATGAGATTAAAGACTTATAATGAGATCAACCCCTGAGTTTGCATGTGCATATATTTATAATTAAGATGAGATTTTTTAAAATATATAATTATGGAGTCTAGGTTGGTCCACTCACTTTGTTATGGAGTGCTTATGGCATGTTTCCACATAGTTTACAAATTGGGTTAATGGTTAAGTTCCGAGTTTTATGGCTTTGTGATCTTAATAAAATTCTCTAGAAACTATGTATTTTGTGTGCGTGGACACATAATATACACAAGAATAATATAAAAGCTAGGAAGGTCTACATACCTCGTAAAAGCATTGATCGTATATTATATAGTTTAGTATAGGTAAGCATATACATAATCTCATTATTTTTTTAAAACTATGTCACGGGATTTGAACCGTTCAATTAGTTGATTGGACATAAAGGAATTTTTATAGTTTTGTAGAAAAAAATAATTATAAGATTACAATTTTATTGAATAGATCTTTGATCTACCCTCTTTAATTAAATAATGATCAATGCAATTATGAATGATTAAAATCAGGTTATAATTGAGGTCCCTACAAAAAAAAATACTATAATAACAAATAGATTAACATCAAGTTTAAAGTGTTGGCGTGATTGACGTTGAGATTAAGTATTTGTTTAAGCATGGCAAGATCTTCGCGAATCTTACTAACTACAACCCTGATTTGATCATTAAGCCCTTTTGAATTAAGTAAAATAGATGATTAGTTTAATTAACTAAGCTTATGCTTCTTCCTTACCACCCTGAACTCATGCATGACCTTTGCTTTTAGGATATTTGGAAACCTTTACTTGTCATTATCTTTTGTCCTCTTCACACTTTGCGAGTTTTGTGTTTTAGTTGACAATTGAATTAACCAAAATCATTATCTTTCTTTTACAATTAACAATATCATTGTTGGGGACTTAAGGTTTTTTTTTTTTTTTTTTTTTTTTGGTTCATTGTACATGGAAAACTATATGTGATAGTGTGATGAAACAAAAATCAGAACCTATAACTTATTTGGCTTCTTGCAAAGTGAATCTCTTACCTAACCTTCACTTTTAACAAGATTTTGTCTCAGTATTTGGTTTCTTTTACTTTTAAGTTCAAGATTTTGTCTCTTTTGGTCTTTCCCTAAGGTATTTTAAGTAGAGAAGAAAGACAAACACACTTCACGACTATTGTTTCCACTTTTTGTTTGACAAAATTGGATTGTTATTAGACTTGGCTAGAACCTTCCTTGAAACTTGTGAATGTTATGAGAATGTTATGAAAATGCATATCTTCACTCTAGCTTCGATTTATTACTAAAGGAAAGTTTATAGTTGATATATTGACACCTAAAATTTGGACTAACAATATTTATGGGACTATTCTTCTCAACACATTTGTTGAAAACTAGACTCCTATTATATAATTAGACTGAATCGTCTTTGCTTCCAAATAGATCTCTTTTTCTTCTTTGTCACCAACTTATTATTGATCCATGTTTCTTCAAAGTACATATTATTTCTTATTAGGCTTATTCATAGGCCCAGGTCTCGGGGTTCGTTCACAGGCAATGAAAATAACTTTTTTTTCTTTGAATATCCAACAAAAACATTAATTAAGAATTCTTAAAGTGGGCTAGTAGCAGTAAGGGCCTCGACCAAATTGATGACTTTTCAAGTCTCTTGAATACTCTTTGGTATTAAAAACTAGAGGTTAATATCATATTATAGCATTACGAGCATATGAACTTGAGGATAAAGGATTCCTAATAACAATCGATTCATACATTTCATTGAAAGGAACAACACAAATATATAGGGACAATCACGTTTTAAGAGGGCTTCAGCTGGAGGTAAGGACTGAGGAGTCATATGGGTTAAGAGGGCTCGGGGTTTAGAAGGTTCCATGTAAGGCGGTGTTACTTTTCTCCCCAAACATCGATTCCCTAGAGAAGATAAACAAATTTAGGCATTACTGTTAATAACCTTTTGGTGTAAATCTTGTGGAACTTACTTTTGAATCTTGCAGCTGTTAAAGGGAACTCTGTAATAGTTCCATTGATACCGGCTCCAGAGATATATGTGTCTATCTTAATAGATGCATCAGCCAAGAAGTCCCACACTTGAGAGAGAAACTCATTCTGAAACAGTTCCACATAAACTGGGAGTTGAGACTTCTGCAGCCTCTCCACAACATTGGTTTGCTTAGTGAGAAACGAATCCGCTTCAGTAAAGACTGATTCTTTGTTGATGACAAGCGCGTCAGCGGATTTCTTTATTTCTTCGACACCATAGTCAAGAATGCCACCAATAGATTCATCAATTTTATAGACAATCTTGTATTGGCTATGCTTCTTGACGTCAACTAGAACTGAACTGTTGGTTGACTGAATCATTACCTTTGTGGTTATATTATTGTTGTAGCCACTATCTATGAGTGCATCAAGAACCGCTTTAACTACGTCGAGCCCTTGCTTCTCTCTCAAGTATCCTGCATTCTGAGGGACACAATATAAAAGCATAGCGGCATGGCCATTAGGAGATATTATATATGGTCCGTTTGTTAAAATACTAATAGTAAGAGGTCGACGAGAACTCACCTCTACATTGATCAAAACACCGAAGCATAAGCAGAACTTCTCATCTCAACATTGTTTCCTTGCTTGGTTTCTGCTCTGAAGGATCTAAAAGGGCAATTATATATGAGTTTTTGGAAAATGGTTCACTTGATAAGTTTATTTCAGGCAAGAGCTCTGTGAATTTGGATTGGAAAACACTATATAATATTGCGCTAGGAATTGCTCGTGGTCTAGAGTACTTACACCATGGATGCAAGACAAGGATTGTACATTTTGACATAAAACCTCAAAATGTACTCTTAGATAACAATCTCTGCCCCAAAGTTTCAGACTTTGGCCTCGCTAAGCTATGTGAGAAAAAAGGGAGCATCTTGTCAGTACTGGACACAAGAGGTACCATAGGGTATATTGCACCGAAGATGATCTCTAGGGTTTATGGGAATGTGTCGTACAAGTCAGATGTGTATAGCTATGGAATGTTGATTCTTGATATGATTGGTGCAAGGAACAAAGAAAAAGCTAACCAATCCTCTACTTCTGATACAAGCACTATGTACTTTCCTGAATGGATTTATAAGGGTCTTGAGAAGGGAGACAATGGAAGGCTTAATGGGAATGGATTCACCCGTGAAGAAGAAGATATAGCAAAGAAGATGACATTGGTGAGTTTGTGGTGTATTCAGCCTTCCCCAACAGATCGCCCACCGATGAATAGAGTTGTAGAGATGATGGAAGGAAACTTGGATGCTCTTGAAATACCTCCTAGGCCAGTTTTTCAAATTCCCACAGTGTCTCTACAAGAATCTTCAACATTTTCGGAGGATATCTCTGTTTACACAGATAGATAATCCAAGAAGCCTCTTGACTGGAACATAAGGATATCCAAACGCAAAAAAAAAAGGTAGCTACAAGTACTTGGCATACATTCAAAAAGTCGTCTATATTTCGAATTAACCAAAGGATTTTTGTCCAACTATATATATTTACTATGTTTATCAAGTTAATATACATTTTTATCGCGATAAAAGATTTGTGGCATTACATGAAAACATAACATAACACTTTGAGTTTCATCCACAAATTATCTGAGCTATCAGAATAAAATACTTTTCGTCCTTGTTGTTTGTTTGCAAAAACCTATTGTATCAATTTTCTAGAAACAGTAATACTGAACAATGTATGTCACATTAAAAAAAAAAAAAATCCAATTATAAGTACATCAATATAAGAATGAACACAAACATTCACTATTGCTAAATTTTAGTTCTTGCTCGTTTCCAAACGTCCATCTATCTAAAAGCTTAATTTAGTGTTAAGACAAACTAAGACTTCGATACATAAGTGCCCATAATGTGCTGATAGAATTGTTGACCTTTCAAGTTTCCTAAATATTTAGGAGATAAGAGATAGTACGGTATTTGGGTGTTCAGTTTGGTTCAAATTTTTAGGTTTAGACTCATAGACCTTGATTGGATTCTGTACTTTTGTGTTAAAAGATAATGTTTTAGAGAGTTAAAAGAGGGAAATCCAAATTAAACAAATCTTGTTTTATCTAACTAAATACCATTTTTTCTAGGGTCAAGGTCAACTATAATACATACATGAGAAAAGAACAAATGTCCATGGACCAGTGAAGGTTTTGTTTTTTCTTTTCGAGAAAATTCTAGATACGTTAATAGACAAATAAATAAAGATTCCCCTACAGAAGTCAACAACAAACCGAACCAACGGTTCTAATTCTATCTTGAGTAACCTAACTTTCGTCAAAACGTTTGCTTCAACGTCTTACATATTACCAGTTTACTACTGGTGACTAGCTTTACTTGCTTCTTACGAAACCAAGAAGAGACATTGTTAATAGATAATAAAAGAATCTATGTTCTTTACTGTCCTCTTCTATTTTGTTTCACTATCTTCCTTTTTGTTTTAAGTGTGGAAACAAACCTAACTTTTTTTTTTTTTTTAATGTTTGTGTTTTGTGCACAATCATAATCATGGTAGAGGTGTGTTCTGTGAAACCTTGTTTACACATAGTAGATAAGTTGTCCCTGCAAAGAAATTATAAGGGTTGTTACTTCTAAAATTTGATACGAGGGTGGAAGACATTATGAACAGAGAGGAGGATGAGATTTAGGGTTGATCACATAAGTAGACGAGAGAGGAAAAAAACAGAGCAGAGAAGAGATAGAGTGAGTTGGGTTTGTTCATTAGGTGCTTGTGCATTGGTTGATGAAGTTACAGGGGTTGAGGTTGGGGATTTTGCTGTAACCGGAGGTAATGGTGGCTCACTGACATCAGCATCTGTGAAAATTAGGCTTGGAGCTTCGGCTGGAGGTAAGAGGTAACGATTCGCAACACCTAAAAGGCTACCGGGTTTAATTGGTAACATGTACGGTGGTGTGTCTTTTCTTGCCAAACATCGATTCCCTAGAAGATAAACAAGTTTAGGCATCAATGTTAATGTTTTTTTTTTGTTTGTAGGACCTTTTGGTTTAAAATTTTTTGGGCAACTTACTTTTGTATCTTGCAGCCGTGAAAGGGAACTCTGTGATGGTTCCATTGATACCAGCTCCATTGATATATGAGTTTATCTCGACAGTGGCATCAGTGAAGAAGTCATATGGTTGAGAGACAAACTCATTCTGAAACAATTCTACATAAACCGGGAGCTGAGACTTGTGGAGTCTCTCCACAACATTGGTTTGCCCAGTGACAAACGATTCAGACTGAAGAAAGACTGAATCTTTGTTGATGACAACAGCGTCAGCAAATTTCTTTATTTCTTCGGTACCATAGTCAAGGATTTCACTAATGGTTTCTTCGATTTTGTAGACTGTCTCGTACTTGCTCTGCTTCTTGAAGTCAACTAGAACCGAGCTGTTGGTTGACTGAATCATGACCTTTGTGGTTGTACTATCTTTGAAGCCAGTATCTGTGAGGGTATCAAGAACCGCTTTAATCACGTCGAGCCCTTGATTTTCTCTCAGGTATGCTGCGTTCTGAAGGACATAAATATAAAAGCATCAGGGTTCCAATTAATAAAATCTCAAGAGTATGAGTATGAGGCAACTGAGAACTCACCTCTACATTAATCAAAACACTGGAGAGAGAAGTGGAGTTTTTTGCCAAGTCCAGGAACTCAGAAAGCGAAATAAGCTTCCCAGAATTCTTCTCTTTCGGATTCCTTAACATAGTGTAAGTCCTGTAGGGGTTTGTAATAACAGCTGCAGAAAAATAATAGTCACTGTAACTCTCATGGTATAAAGTGTCCAGTAATTATGACCACAACATATCAAGCTAGCAGAATATTTTTTTTTTAAGGAACAGATTCACATCTATTTGTAACCTCTTTAACTTAAGTAAGAGTAGAAACAGTACTGGAACAACAGACTAGCATTTTTCTGAAGCAACTGGCAAATTTAAAGGGTAACTTACGAGTCAAATTCTTTATTTCAGGCCATGTGAGACTAAAAGTGTATATTCCACCAATTGAGCTAATCTCAGGAACAGTTGTTGAACGGTTTCTGAGAGGAGTTAGGGCGACAGTTGTGGTGTTCCCGAGATCTATTGAACTTGAGCAAAAAGGTGTACCGTCGCTCGACATTTGGACTGAGCAATCTATAACATCAGCACCATCTTTGATTGCCTTCTCATATGCCAAGTCTGTACATCCAGGATAGTTCCCACTCGCACCATTTTTTGATATAACAAGAAAATCCACTGAGGCATCAACCGTTTTGGTAGATGATAAGGTCACTATAAGTTTTTTTTTTGTTTTTTTTTGTATATTAGTAAGCCAAAAAAATGTGAAGCATACCATGTTTTCTAGCGTTTCTGCCAATATGGGAGAAGCAATCTGAGGAAAATATGAAATGGAAATGTTTGAATTTTGAGTATTTAATTACCAGCAAATTTTGAAGGACAGCTTTTTTTTTAGATTTTCTTGCTTACCAATGGATGAAGATGCAGTTATGGGAAAATCGGAGACCATGCCATCGACAGAGAAATCGCCATTGTCCACAAAAGATAGATACTCTGAGACTGGATCGAAGCTGTAGTCATGTGCGATATAGATATCATTTGAGAAACCAGACACATATACTGCTAATCCTGCTTTGTGAGCATCCTGAACTAACGATGTATAAGGAAGCAAGTACTGCTGGTCATCGAGTGGCAATATGTAAGACTTGGGAACAAGAATCCCTGAAGCAAACGTCTTGACAAAAGTTAGGTTGCTCAAGATAGAACCGTAGGTTTGGTTTGTCGTAGGCTCGAGATCTTCTTGCCTAAGAAACTGAAACACAAAACTAGGTCCATTACGCCCGAAACGGCCAGCAATTTTCATAAAGAAATTCACTTCAGGAGAAGAGATGAAGTCAATGGAAGCAGTTCTTGAAACTGAAAGAAGATAGTTGCTCATGCTCAGATTATGTTGCGCATAGAACGCGTCGTGCTGAACATTTAACCAAAAACCCTCTTGTTTTATCAAGGCGGCTACATTTTGAATCGTTGAAATACCATTTACGTCATCGAATTTCTCTGACCGTGATAATATTCCTCGGTTTACTGCAACATGTGGAAACAAGAAAGACAATGGTGAACCAACTCTATAACAACACATTTAAAAAAGCACCAACTGAGTGATAGAAACATACAAGTTACATTCTCGAGATCTTTGAAGGTGGTATCGATGGTGAACCAACCCTGAGTAGTGACTCCATTAACCATGTAAGATTTTTGACCATTTGGGTAAATATATTTGATAATGGAAGCATTGGCCAGATTCAAATCAGGGAAGCAAATCCCAACTCCATCTTTGGTTAGCTGAACATCACACCATAGAACAACATCGGCTACACTTGTCAGTATTGCGAAATTGTAAGCATCACTACTCGAATCTGGAAACAATCCAGAAAACCCACCACGAGCAATCACAAGTGGAGCATCACCTAGTAAATACATAAATAAACAAAGTAATCCAAAGTTATATTTTAAAGTATCTATGATTACCACAAATTCTAGTACACAACTACTTAAGTTATCTTGCTTTCTTGCGCAAAAGAAAGAGAAAAAGTGGAGAGCACACTCACCACTGAGCGTCTGCCATGGACTTGTTGATCTCTGACCATCAATGTGAGTAGCAAACAGCTGAAACAGAGCAAACCCACAGAATAAAAGCGAGGGAGATGGTAACACTAGCATTGCCGGATTACCTGGCCGGGAATTCAAAACCATCGTACCCATAGTGGATAGATACACCGACACGCAAGAACCTTTGCCAGAGAGACTCGTCTTTTAGTCTTTAATATTTTTGTTGTTTAGTTGACTTGTCTCTGTCGACCAAAAAAATGTAGGGAACAAGCAATGGTACTGGTCATTTACTATAGCTAGATCAACTATGATAAATCATATTTTTACCATTCAGTTATTTATCTTTACCATTTATGTAGCAGGAAATTCTCTTAAATACTACTAAAATGAGAATTTTTCCAAAAATAACTTAAATTTTTAACATTCAAAACTAATTTTTAAATTCTAAACACTAAAAACTACCGATAAAAACTATACCCTACATGTAAATAGTCAACCCAAACATTAAAAAAAAAATTTACATCATCAATATTTTATGTTTATGGTATTTTTGGAAAAAAAAAATAGTGGTAGTTTTGGAAGAAAAATTTAAAATATGCGGAATTTATCTATCAAATAGTAGAGAAAAAAATTTGATGTGAGAAGAACACATAGTTTAAGAAGTATTACATTAACTCTCCTAATCATAAATTTACAATATACATTGTTATTAATCTTGTGATCACTATGAAAATTAGTTATCTAACTAATTGGCCAATACCTTCTTTTATTCTTCTTTTCTTTTCTTTTCATAATTAAGGCAGAAAAGAGGAAAAACCTTAGCCTAGGCATCGGAGTTAACTAACAACCATGTGGTTAAAAAAAAAAAACCCCTCTCTCTCTCTCCCTCTCTCTGTGCCTGTGCCTGTTTGGTTAAATAATTTTCTGATTTTATCTACTCTTAGAAAACAAACACCAGATCTAGAAGAAACATTGTTCATAAATCCACAAATAATGTACTTCCCCCTCAATTCTTGTTTGATCTTCCTCTTTCTTTTCACCTTAATCTACCATCTTCACTATGCTTCAAGTAAACAAGAAATTGGATGGTGTGAGACTATTCAGTTTCAGTGTGGGAGCATTACCGCCGGTTTCCCATTTTGGGGTGGGAATCGTCCTGAACCTTGTGGTCGTGCGTTGCTGAAGCTTCACTGCAACACCAAAAACATCACCTCTTTAAGCATCTCAAACCATGAGTACATTATTTTCCATATAAATCACACATCTAGCACTACTCTTCTTAGACTTGTAAGAGCTGACCATAAAGGTCCTTTTTGCTCCTCTACATTCAATTCCACAACCTTGCCTCCCGAAATCTCTGAGCTTTCACCAATCTACAAGAGCCTCACCATTTTCTATCACTGCAACCCACGTTTTCATTATGCTTCTAGTTACACATGTCCTCGGAGAGGTGTTATCTCAGGGTATCAAAGCCCTAATTATCATCAATCCTGCCAAGAAAGCTTTACCGTGAACGTGCCCACCACGTTTGTTCCAGAAAAGAAAGAGTTGAATATGACTCATTTGGAAAGTGTTCTAAGAGAAGGATTTGAGGTTATGGTCAATACTGATGAGATAACGTGTGAAGGATGTTCTTCCTCACGTAAGTTTCACTTTGCTTCTTTTTTACTTGTCTTTCTCCACTTAGTGAATGATATTAATTTGCCTTGTTCAAAAAGACCAAACATAGCTTCATTTCCTGCAACTCTTACCAAACCAAAACACTTGTAGTCAATATAACAAAAACAGAGGAGCACACAGTAATCAATCTGTTTCTATCTTATAGCCTTTGTGACCTCATCTTTTGTTTTACCAGCTATTGAGCGTTACGAACGCTGCAGTCAACCATTTCCCTGTGGCAATCAGGGAAGTCTCGCGTACCCTTTCTGGGTCCGTGGCAGAGAAGACTGCGGCCACCCAGACTTCAAGCTTGATTGTAGCAAAGGATTCGCGGAGTTTAACCTCTCCTCCGTGAAGTTCAGAATTTTAGAGGATAACAATGTCTCTCATCTTATAAAACTCGCAAGATTGGATTACATCGACAATCCCAGAATCAGAATGTGTCTCCAAGACCAACTAAATGGGACACTCTTGGAAACTGTACTTCCATTCTCTTCTCGCTCCAAGATGCTAACAATTTATTACGGCTGCCAAAACTTGTCATCTAATGATGTTCTCACTAACGTTTACACTGGAGATGTTGTTTGTGAGAATGATGAAGAAGCTCGGCTAAGTCGTAGGCAAGTGAAGCCATCGCTTAGTGTTCATATTTTTAAAACAACATTTTGTCTAGAAATTATCATTAACTGAAAAAGACGTAACTTATTAATTTTGTGCAGAGTTGGACCGACCAAAAATTATTACGTGACGAGAAACATCTCGTCTCCTTTAGAGAGGACTCTTGAAAAGGAATTGTCGGAACAATGCAGAGGAGACGTCAGTATACCTGTGTCTGGATCGGCGTTGAACACACTGAGCCTAGGAACTTTAGAGAGGACTCTTGAAAAGGGTTTCGAGGTAGAACTTAATCAAAACTGTTCAATGTGCATAGAATCGAAAGGTGTTTGTGGTTATAATCAGACTTCAACAGAATTCATCTGTTATTGTAAAGATGGGACCTATGGCAATACATGTGTCTCTGAGAAAAAAGTTCATGGTATACTATTTTCTACTCTGAGTTTGTTCTTCACTTTTCTTCCGACATAAGTTTGGTTCCATTCTGACAAATTTCACTTGTTCAACGGTTGTACAGGGGCTTGGAACAAAGCAATTCGCATAGGTTAGTTTGCTGACCAGAGATATTTTGAACTGTCTTTTATTCGTCGATCAAAAATTTATTAACAGCACATTTTTCCCCATTTTTTGTAGTTGCGGGTACAGTAGCAGGAGTTGTTTTGTTCCTTGTACTGTTAACATTGTTTCTCCGTTTTCTCCGGAAGAGAGAAAAAAGGCTGAGACATCAGAAGCTGAAGGCTCTTATTCCACTTGAACACTATACTTACACACAAGTGAAGAGAATTACAAAGTCATTTGCGGAAGTGGTTGGGACAGGCGGATTTGGGATTGTTTATCGAGGAACACTTCGTGATGGCCGTATGGTTGCGGTGAAGGTCTTGAAAGACTCAAAGGGAAATGGTGAAGACTTCATCAATGAAGTTGCTAGCATGAGCAGAACTTCTCATCACAACATTGTTTCTTTGCTTGGTTTCTGCTCGGAGGGTTCTAAAAGGGCAATTATATACGAGTTTTTGGGAAACGGGTCACTTGATAAGTTCATTTCAGGAAAGAGCACGGTGGAAATGGATTGGGGGTCTCTATATAGAATTGCGTTAGGAGTTGCTCGTGGTCTAGAGTACTTGCACCATGGATGCAAGACAAGGATTGTACATTTTGACATCAAACCACAAAATGTACTCTTAGATGACAATTTTTGCCCCAAAGTTTCGGACTTTGGCCTCGCTAAGCTATGCGAGAAACAAGAGAGCATCTTGTCAATGCTGGACACAAGAGGTACCGTAGGGTACATTGCACCAGAGATGATCTCAAGAGTTTATGGGAATGTATCGCACAAATCAGATGTCTATAGCTACGGAATGTTGGTTCTCGATATGATTGGTGCAAGGAACAAAGAAAATTTTAATCAAGCCGCTGCTTCTAACACAAGTTCAATGTACTTTCCTGAATGGGTATATAAGGATCTTGAGTTAGGCAAGTCCAAAACCAATATTGAGATTGAGTTCAACAGCGAAGAAGACGAGCTAGCAAAGAAGATGACATTGGTGGGGTTGTGGTGTATTCAGCCTTCCCCAACAGATCGCCCACCGATGAATAGAGTTGTAGAGATGATGGAAGGAAGTTTGGATGCTCTTGAAGTCCCTCCTAGGCCAGTTTTTCAAATTCCCACAGTGTCTCTACAAGAATCTTCAACATTTTCAGAAGATACCTCTACTTACACAGAAGGATGATCCATGGAACCTATCAAAGCACGCAAATCGCAAATGTTGTATATTATTTACATTCTAGAGGACGGCTCTGTAAAACTAGTTTACTTTACTATGCTAAACTGTTTAGCCTTTTGTTTTACTAATTTAATTTCACTCGGCTTAATTTTTGTAAAGCTAGATAGAACAGTTTTCTATTGCGATAAAACGTTTTGAAGCATTTCACTCAAGACTTTGAGTTTCATCAACTAATAAACTACTACTTCATTTTCGTTGCTGTTTGCAAAAACTTACTGTCTCATTTTTCTGAAGATGGTAATAAAGAACAATGTCTGTCTCAGTTATTATAGTAGAAAAAAAAACCATTTAAGGGTTAGAGCAATGGAAGCATGAACCAAACAACTTCCTTAGGTTATTAATGCTTGCTCAAACTTCTATTTTCCTTTCTAGAAATTGATTTTAGTTTGAAGTCTTTGCATAGGTAACGGTAAAGAGCTGATTTATGGACTTTTCAAGTCTCCTAAACACCTCTTTGGTCAATGCCTCAATGGTCATCTTGAAAAGATCAAGATAGTATGGTATTGGTTTACCGGCAAGTCACCTATCTCAGTCCCACTATAGATTTCATTTCAGGACAAATGCCCCTAGGTCCACCTGAAGATTCTTTTCCAATTAATATTTTTCCTCATTTTTGGTGAATTAAAACTCTTAGGTGATACAAAAAAATGTTTTAGAAATTGTTAAAAGAGACAAAATTTGATGGGTAAGCAATAATATTATGTGTCATAGTTGATCTAGCAATTGGCCAGAACTATTCATACGTTCATTTTCTTCACCACCTTCTTAATCATATGATATCTATATATAAAAGTTATTGAAGAGACACAAGTCTTTCTGAGTCAACTAATAAATCCTTCTTTTTTTGTTAAATAGTCTCTCTCTATTGGTCCACTCAGTGTTAACTAATAAAGCCACTTGTTTCAAAGAGTCTCTCTGTATTTGTTTGTTCACTATGAGTCAACTAATAAAACTAACTGATTTGTATATTTATAAAAAAAGAAACATATTGAGTCTTTATGTACTTATCCTCTATGAGTTCAATGCTTAAGCTTTAACGATAAATCTACTAAATTTTTTTGTTTTGTTTTTGTTTATGTAAGTTACCGATGAGATTATCCCGGCAAGGTTATCTAAGAGAGGTCGTAATGCGATATTCAACGGTTTTATTATGTGGTGTTGTTCTGATTCAGCTGTTTTCTGCTCAAATCGATGCTCAAAGATCAAGAAGTCGATGGCAGACGCTTAGTGGTGAGAGTTACTCTATGATGGTTTCCAAGAAAGCTTTGATTTCTTTATCTTGGATTTAGTATTACTTAAGTAACTTTCTTTCTTTAACCATATGTGTCGTAGAAGTTGGGATAACAAGTTCACTTTATTTTGTTTTTCAAAAAAGGAAAGTTTCCAAATATGAAAGTCCAGTAATTACTTTGATTATGGGAGCGTATATATACTTTTGTATAGAATATAACTTTGGATTACTTTTATTTATTTATTTACTAGGTGATGCTCCACTTGTGATTGCTCGTGGTGGGTTTTCTGGATTGTTACCAGATTCGAGTCTTGATGCTTACTCTCTTGCAACCCAGACAAGTGTAGCTGATGTTGTTCTATGGTGTGATGTTCAGCTAACCAAAGATGGAGTTGGGATTTGCTTCCCTGATTTAAATCTGGCCAATGCTTCAACTATAGATCTTGTTTACCCAAATCACAAACCTAAATCTTACCCGGTTAATGGAGTCACTAGGCAGGGTTGGTTCACCATTGATTTCTCCCTGGGAGATCTCCAGAATGTTTCTTGTAAGTGTTTAATAACAAACAATTAAGTTTTGTTTTTTTTCTTGTAACTCTCACAAATATATGTTTTTTTTTCTTCTTATTACCTTAGTGATTCGAGGAATACTCTCGCGATCGGATAAATTCGATGGAAATGGATACGCCATTTCAACGATTCAAAACGTTGCCGAGCAGATTAGTCCTCAAGGAGGCTTTTGGTTAAATGTTCAGCACGATGCGTTCTACGAGCAACAAAATCTGAGCATGAGCAGTTTCCTATTATCAGCTTCAACAACTGTTTCCATTTACTTCATATCTTCCCCTGAAGTAAATTTCTTTATGAAAATTGCTGGCAGTTTCGGGCGTAATGGACCGAGTTTTGTGTTTCAGTTTCTTGAAAAAGAAGATTTCGAGCCGACGACAAACCAAACCTACGGTTCCATCTTGAGTAATTTAACTTTTGTCAAGACGTTTGCTTCAGGGATTCTTGTTCCCAAATCTTATATATTACCACTCAATGACAAGCGGTATTTGCTTCCTCATACATCGTTAGTTCAAGATGCTCACAAAGCAGGTTTACAAGTATATGTGTCAGGTTTTGCAAATGATGTTGATATTGCATATAACTACAGTTCCGATCCAGTCTCAGAGTATCTATCTTTTGTGGACAATGGTAATTTCTCTGTCGATGGCATGCTCTCTGACTTTCCCTTAACTGCATCTTCATCCATTGGTAAGCAAAATCTCTTCTACGAACACAATTTTGGCTTTGAAACATTGCTGAAAATACTCAAAATCAAAAGTTTCCATTTCATATTTTCTTCAGATTGCTTCTCCCATATTGGCAGAAACGCTACAAAGCACGGTAATGCGCAGTAAATACTTCACATTTTTTGGCTTACGAACAAAAAAAACCTTGTAACTGACTTTAATTATCATCTCCACAACGGTTCATGCCTCAGTGGATTTTCTTGTTATATCAAAAAATGGCGCGAGTGGGGACTATCCTGGATGTACAGACTTGGCATATGAGAATGCAATCAAAGATGGTGCTGATGTTATCGATTGTTCAGTCCAAATGTCGAGTGACGGTATACCTTTTTGCTCAAGTTCAATAGATCTCAAAGACACCACAATGGTCGTCCAAACTCCTTTTAGCAAGCGTTCAACAACTGTTCCTGAAATCAGCCCAAATGGTGGAATATACACTTTTAATCTCACATGGCCTGAAATCCAGAATTTGACTCGTAAGTTTCCCTTTAAATTTTTCAATTGCTGATCAGACATCACATTCTTGTTCCTTACAATTTATAGTAACTAATGAGAGAGCTTTGTTTCTAGTCTTACTTAAGCTAAGAGGTTACATATAGATACAAGTATCAATTTTCTTATCATATTCTGGTCAAAATTACTTGCCACTTTAGACATTACATGACTCGTCTCCCATCTATATGTTCAGCTGCTATTTCAAACCCATACAAAGTATATGATATGGTAAGGAATCCAGAAAAGAGAAATGCGGGGAAGCTTATGTCGCTTTCTCAATTCTTAGGCTTGGCAAAGAACTCCACTACTCTCTCCGGTGTTTTGATCAGTGTTGATGTGAGTTTTCGTGGACCTCCTCGTCATTAGATTTTCGACTATGATATCTTCTAATGGCCACTATGTTTTTTTTTGTGTCCCTCAGAATGCGGCATACTTGAGAGAGAAGCAAGGGCTCGACGTGGTTAAAGCTGTTCTTGAAACACTAACAGAATCTGGTTATAGCAATGGAACAACTACAACAAAGGTCATGATTCAGTCTACCAACAGCTCGGTTCTAGTTGACTTCAAGAATCAGAGCAAGTATGAAACTGTCTACAGAATTGAAGAAACCATTCGTGATATTAGTGATTCTGCCATCGAAGACATAAAGAAATTCGCTAACGCTGTTGTCATCAACAAAGTTTCAGTCTTTCCTAACTCTGATTCGTTTCTCAGTAAACATACCAATGTTGTGGAGAGACTCCAGAAGTCTCAGCTCCCGGTTTATGTGGAACTGTTTCAGAATGAGTTTGTCGCTCAAGCATATGACTTCTTCGCTGATGCAACTGTTGAGATAAACACATATACCTATGGAGCCAGTATTAATGGAACCATCACAGAGTTCCCCTTCACAGCTGCAAGATACAAAAGTAAGTGACTTAATATTTACACCAAAAGGTCATACACCACAACCTAACTTTGTTTATCTTCTCCAGGGAATCGATGTTTGGGTAGAGACAAAATACCACAATACATGTTACCAATTCAACCCGGTGGCCTTTTAGATATTGTGAGTCCTTTGTTCTAAGTTCTTTCGGTCGTTTTTTATGATCACCGACTTTTCGTATTAGCTCTAAGTTCTTTCGGTCATTTTTTATGATCCCCGACCAACCTCAACCCCAGGAACCCCATCAACCATTGCACAAGCACCTAGTGGACAAACCCGACTCACACTATCTCTTCTCCTCTCTGCGATTTTTCCTCTCACTCTTCTACTTACGTGACCAAACCCTAGATGTCACATACTCCTCTCTGTTTCTTTGTGTGCCGGTTTAAATTTACACTTTGGTTTACTGTGATTTGGTTATTGTACTTGTTTAATCATCAGTTTATAATTCGGTTGTTGTTTGTACTTTGTACATGAGAATTCTCTTGTTCATGATAATGAACATTATAGTAAATAAAATTATTACAATGGTACTAATCTGTTATCATTTCTTTTTGTAACAATTTGATTTCTTATAAAATGTTTATTGTCATGATACTAATATGACTCTAAAGATGATAATGACCTTGTGTTGGTTTTCCTAAAACTAAACTGTTAACTGAAACTAAATCGTCATTAGGAATGATAGAGAATACATATTGGTCAACGTTTGCCACGTCTAGTGCCGTGTCTGATTCTTCATTTGACCAAGGAATACTTAAAAATTTGTAAAGTCAACTTTTATCAGCTGTTCTTGTTTTCTTTTGTATCCCTTTGAAACTAAAATTTGTATTGACAAGTTAAACGAATAATGTATTATTACACAGAGCCAAAGGGCCAAAAAGCCTGTGGCGACATAAGATTGTCTTTGATCCTCTCGTACGTAACCCTCCGGGGAAAAGATGAAAGGCCCATTGCTACTCTCTATTTAAACCGAACAGTTTTATGATAAACTATACACTATATGTACCAAAAGGTCCAAAACCGATCATGTAAAATATTTCACCATTGAACACACTGTGAACGTAGATCAAATTGATCATACACTATCTTCCTCGTACATCAAGTAATCAAGAACTTGGATTGAGAAAGACTATGTTTCAGTTTGGAAACATCACTGCCCACTTCCCGTCTGGTAAGGATAATTTCAGAGCCGGCCCATGGGCCAAGCTGGTGAAGCATCAGCTTGCGGCCCTCGATATAATACATAAAATTCGGCCATTTTTTGCAAAAGTTTCCTTAAGTCCAGTGGTACATGCAGTGCCATATATGAGAGTTGCACCCCAGTTCGAGTCACATACTTGTATTTAACCAGCCTTTTTTTACTTTTTGATTGTGGCCTGAAATTTTTTAGAGACGGCTCTGGATAATTTTCATAAGGTTTGAGAATAGTCAAAGTACACATGGCTTTAAAGTCGTTGTACAGAAAAAAAAAAAAAAAGAAGGTTGGTCAAAGAGACTAAACGTCCGAACATTAACTCTTACAAAACCAAAACGATTTACATCTCTTCTTCCACCATTTTCCTATTGATCACAAACACAATGATCAATCTGTTTTAGTCCTGTAGAATCATGTAGATGCTCTTACAACTACCTTGATCAGTGAATTAATTTTTAAGGACAAAACCAAACTCTACTTCACAAAACCCCACCATCATCTCCTGTTCTTGATCGATTTCTAATGTCTCGATCCATGGTCACGCTCTTATACCTGTTCTTTCAGCTTTTAAGCGTCTCTGTTAGAGCTCAGAGCACATCAACAGAGACAACAACAGAGTTCGTTTTCCGAGGTTTTAAAGATCACAAATCAGATATTCAAACAGAGGGAGCTGCAATCATCGAACCCAATGGAGCATTGAGACTCACTGATCAAAAGTCTAACGTCACCGGAACAGCCTTTTACAACAAACCAGTAAGGCTGCTTGACCAAAACAATCTCACTACCAAACCCGTTGTTCGTTCTTTTAGCACTTCTTTTGTCTTCTCCATATTCCATTCCAGCTTGAGCAATGGAGGTTTCGGCTTCACCTTCACACTTTCTCCCACCCCTCACCGTCTAGGCGCTGAACCGGAACAATACTTAGGACTTTTCAACAGAGAAAACGACGGGAATCCAAATAACCATGTCTTCGCCGTTGAGTTCGACACTGTACAAGGATTCAATGACAGTGCTAATAGTCCAGCCAATCACATCGATCTGAACTTTAATAGTATCAAGTCAGAGTTCCAAGAACCAGTTGCCTATTACGAGTCTAACGACCGAAAAGAGGATTTCCACTTGGGGAGCGGTGGGCCGATCCGAGCCATTTTGGATTACAATGGTCAGACACAAATGCTGTATTTGACCATTTACCCGGAAGTGTTTCCCCCAAGAAAGCCAATGATCTCACAAAAGATTCCAAATCTGGCAGAGATTGTGCAAGAAGAAATGTACATTGGATTCACAGCAGCCACTGGGAGAGTTTTTAGTGCTCACTACGTGATGGGTTGGAGTTTTTTCAGTGATGGAGACCCTCTTGTTGCAGCGCGGCTTGCACTCTCGGATCTTCCTCTTCCACAGCTCAAGAAAGGTTAAAAAATTATTACTAATTCTCTGTATTTTTTGACCATGCCTCAGTCAATTTTGTTTGCATACTGACCAGCTATACTTTCTTGAAGGCTCTCTAGATAATCAAGTCATGACCAGAAATATTCTCATAGGTTAGATACTTTAGCCCAAAAAATCTTGAGATTTCTTGATAGAAAGTAACTCATAAGTTCCTATGTTCTGTTTTCTTAGTTGCGGGTTCGATACTAATCATACTCATGGTCTTGGGGGTCTTAGCAATTTTTATAAGAATAAAGAGGAAAACGTCAAATACAAGAAAGAAGCTCAAGGCTATTATTCCTCTGAAACATTATCGTTACACTGAAGTAAAGAGGTTTACAGAGTCATTTGCATGCGTAGTTGGGAAAGGAGGATTTGGAACTGTTTACAAAGGAAACCTTCCTGATGGTCGTAAGGTCGCGGTGAAGGTTTTAAAAGACTCCAAGAGCAATGGCGAAGATTTTATCAATGAGGTTTCAAGTATGAGCCAAACATCTCATGTTAACATTGTTTCTTTGGTTGGATTCTGCTATGAAGGATCCAAGAGGATGATTGTTTATGAATTTCTAGAGAATGGATCTTTGGATCAGTTTATCTCAATGAACAGCGCGTCCACTGCTGAATGGAGAAGGAAGCTTTACGAGATTGCATTAGGAGTTGCTCGTGGTATAGAATACTTGCACTATGGTTGCAAAACAAGGATTGTGCATTTCGATATCAAACCTCAGAACGTGCTGTTGGATTGCAATCTTTGCCCAAAAGTTTCTGACTTTTGTAAGTGCAATTTACATGAACCCTAAGATCTTTTAAGCAACATGATTAATCACATGATAAAACTGTAAAGGAGGGTTAGCGGAGTACCTCCATTCATTGTAACTGAGATTCTTGATGAACGGTTTCCTGAAGTCTTGATCTCTTAGTTAGGTTATTAGGTTTCTCTCTCCTTGCCTATAAACTTACTTTATGTGTTGTGTTTGTGATTTCTTTTTGGGATGCCTTTATGATGGACTAAAGGCATATATTTATAGGCGGAGAGAGGACCTAGTTCCTCTTTAGGGTTTCCTTAAGATTTAATCTCAACCGTCCATCAAAGTAGAGATTGATTAGGAAAAACTCCATCATTATCTATTTAATTAGTTACCAAATATATTAAAGAATAACATTATTCCATAGAAAACGGATAACTACAAGACCACATAATAGGGGAAGGAAATATTCCTTACAGTCTCCCACTTGGTCGTTAGTAGAATCCATTAATGTATTCTCTTAGGAATCATAAGGCCGGCATAATATGTTATTACTAATATCTTTCATTTGGTCATCATAAGTGTCTTGACTAATCTAGTAATCAATGGGAGTCATGGCGGTCGCATATCATTCTGCAACATGATCCCTTCCATGTACTTCTACATTGACTACCTTCTTAGCTAAACCATAACATAATAGGAGTTATCATAATGGTCCCTTTAATGTCTGTAAAATAAAGACTCATTCTGTTATTATAATTCCAACAACAATAATGTGTGTGCACATTGGAAACAGAATATAAAAGATGAAAAAATCATAAAAGAGTTCAACATAAATGTCAAATATAGGCCAATTAAAACAAACTACATAATTAGGAACTATCCTCAAGACCCATACTTTCAGCATGCTTCTCGAAAGTCTTAGGAGGTAGCCCTTTTGTAAATATGTCTGCAACCATAAGTTCAGTGCCTATATGTTCAATGACAAACTTTCCTCTTTTGACATCTTGCTTTAGTGATAGGTATTTAAGGTCCATATGCTTGGCTCCCTTAGATATCCTATCATGCTTAGAGAAGAAGATTGCAGCTTCATTGTCACAGTAAAGAGTCAAAGGCTTGTCAACAAAACTCAAAACCCCAAACTCAGAGACAAAATTCCGCAACCATGCTCCTTGAATAGAAGCCTCATAACATGCAACATACTCAGCCTCCATAGTGGATGTGTATAACAGCTGCGACTTTTGGCTTTTCCATGAGATGGCACCCCCAGAAAGGAGATACACATAGCCAAGAGTGCAGTGTCTAGAATCTTGACATCCACCATAATCTGAATCCGAAAATGCAACCATCTGTGGATGTGTTGACTTTCTGTATGTAAGCATGTAGTTTCTTGTTCCTTTGAGGTATCTCAATACTTTCTTTGCAGCTTGCCAATGAGCGAGTCCTGGGTTACTCTGAAATCTACCCAGCATGCCAACTGCATGGCTAATATCAGGTCTGGTGCAAACCTGTGCATACATCAAACTTCCCACCAAAGATGCATAAGGATATTTTTGCATTTCCAGACGTTCCAATTCATTCTGCGGACATTGCTTAAGATTAAGTTTGTCACCTTTCTGCAGAGGAACAATACTAGGAGAACATGCCATCATGCCAAATCTCTCAAGAACTTTATCAATATAAGCTTTCTGAGACAACCCTAAAATTCCAAGTGATCTATCACGAAATATTTCAATTCCGATCACGTAGGATGCCTCACCCATATCTTTCATTTCGAAATTCTTAGAGAGATAACCTGTAGTCTCATGTAATAGACCAAGATCACTACTAGCCAGTAAAATATCATCAACATACAAAACCAAAAATATGAACTTACTCCCACTGATCTTGAGGTATATGCAAGGATCTACAATGTTTTCTTTAAAACCGAATTTCGTAATGGTTTCATCAAACTTTAGA